AAATCCGGAATAGAAAATCCGGAATAGAAAATCCGGAATAGAAAATCCGGAAAAAATAAATCTGTAAAAAGAAAATCCGGAAAAGAAAAGTCTGGAAAAATTTTACTTGAAGTTTATTAATCATAGAAGACACAACAAGTAAAAGGTGTGGACAGATTAGAGAGAATTTGATAAGCTTATTTCTTTGAAGCCAGCAGTAGTGAGAGTTCATCGAGAAGCTCGGCATAATCGATGTCGTCGTTGTAGCAGCGAGTATCCAGGGTATGGATATAGACAGGTGTGAGTGGGTGAGAGTAGGTATGAATGTATAGATATGGACTACTCTTCTCCAACACCCACACCCTCACTCATATCCATACTACAAAACCTTTCGAGGTGATTTATTTATTTTCCAGATTTTTATTTTGTAGATTTTTTATGTCCTTATTTCTTTTATTCCTGATTTTAATTTTCCAGATTACTTGACATATTTATATTCGTATTAGATAACTCAGCTAATTTCTATAGATTGAAGCGATACTCAGAAACTAACTAATTTCAGGAAATCCGTGGTATTATCTAAAAGTTCATTTTTGATTTCCAGAAGTTCATCTAGTTTAATCGCACACATAATGTTTTGTACACTAATAGGATGAAACAAATAAAATATGCTCTCTGTATGTCTTTCACTCTGACCGTCATTAAGAAAAATGCCGGCTGATATATTTTTCGGCATCATTGAAACAGTCAATTCGATTTTGTGATGATATTTGCCGGAAACTCACCTAGTTTTCTTAGTTTATAATTTCCTAGAAACTAATAGGATACATTATATGAACACTAGAAAAATTCCATTCAAAAAAAGCTCATGTTTTTATACAGGAAATCAATTTAAATAAGATATTTGATTCGATATGGGTACAATAAATAAATGAGACATAAAAAGCAGAATTCTATATAAATATGGATATTTTTCATCTTAGACGATCATTTTCAACCAACAAAATACATGAACAAGATACAAATGATATGTTATAACGTTAGTAGCATAAATATTAACATTAATAACAATAATAAGATGAACAATTGGCAGTCTTCCACTAGTAATAAACTCAACTGAATCTTAAATTTTAATGAATTTATTTCAAACGTCTATATACTTCCTGATTATTTTCACACATGCATGAAATTTTACTGAATAGAATGATAATCATGTATAAAAATAATTTAAACATGAAATTTGATTCAATATCTAAGAAGTAAATGAAAATAAGTATATAGACATTTGAAATAAATTTATTAAAATTTAAGATTCAATTGAATTTATTACTAGAGAGAATTTTTCAATTGTTCATGTTGTTTATGTATTGTTTTGGCTGGAAATGATTGTCAAAGAAGAAAAATTTTTATGTTTATATAACTTCACACTTTCTACATCTCATTTTTATGTCATTGAAGATGAATAGGTAATTTCCATGGTGAAATCAACGTAATTCCCACTGGATTAGTGTCAGAGAGAAAGGTTGAATAGTTTGACGTAGAATAAAATAAAATAAAATAAGATTGTAAAGCCTAATAATGAACTCTGTTTATTATTTATCTAAAAAAAGAACTGAATCTAATCATGAAAAACAATTGATTATTAATAATCCTTTTGATGAAATGTTCACAAGGTAAGATTTATATATTTAAACAGTGACATGAACGATATTTAGTCTCATTTATAGATAATTAATTAAATTTTATATTAAAAAAGTCAGATAAAATATTTTAGATTAGTTTTGAATAAATTCAAATATAAATCAATTTGAGAAAAAAAAATCGAGAAGTATATATGATATGTAAAGATGTAAGTTAAGTTTGTTGATGACATGACAAAAGTGCTGGAGGAAGAAGAAAGAGTCATGCGGAAAATATGTGTTCGTGATTACTTTAATTAAAAAAAAAGAAAATAGAAATGAAATGTTGTAGATAATATATCAACGTCGAATAAATCTTTGCAAAAAATATTATTTTCTATAGAAAAAAAAAGAATCTGTTTGTTGTGTTTAATGAGATTAGTTTTTTTTCTAATTTAAGAAAAGAATTATAAATGAGTTTTTATTTCTCATGAATATCTTTTATTCATTTTTTATTTAACAATATTTTTCATTGAATAAATTAATTTTGAATAAAAAAAACTCTGAAGAGAGTATAGAATCTTTTTTTCTAAATTAAGGTAAGATAAATGAATGAATTATTTGAAATAAAATATTTTTTATTTTAGATTTGAATAAAATGAGTGTACCATTATATTGTATTGATAGAGATGCAGTTTTAAAAGATGTTTCAGCTGATATTAAATGGAGAAATGGAGTTCCAAATTATACAAAAGCAAATTCACTTTTTGACAAATTTAAATCAACTGATCATCAACCGGGTTCACTGGAATTTATTGTTCAAAATATTGTTAAAAATTGGGAAAAAGGTTTGTACTCATTTATTATTTTCAGAAATTAATTTTTAATAAAAAAAACATTCATACAAAATAAACTTATTAAGTTAGACATGTGTAGTGTCAGTTTACTGATCACTGAAACATTGATGATATCGGTACATTGATGTTTACCGATATGTCAGACGTATTTATATCAGTGAATGTCAGGGCACCGACATCATCAATGTTTCAGTGAGCTCACTATCGGCGACTTCAGTGTCAGTTTTTTTCAGTACTTGCATCGACACCGCACATCCCTATATTAAATTAATTATTTTATCGTTCAAAGTAACACAACGAAGTTTACATAAGAAAAAAATCTTAATAATACACATATAGAATTAATAATATTCAAGTCAAAAATTTCATCATAAAAAATCTTTAAAATAATTTTTTAAATATTTTATTTGAGATTAATTATGAGTTTATGAAAATACTCAAAGTATTTTGTAATATTATTAAAATAAATAAACTTATTTAATTAAAAACATTATTTATATTTAAATAAAATGACTATTATTTGTAGAAGTATCTCATAAAATCGATCCTCGTCAATGGACAACAGTTGATATAGATAATTATCGTTTTTCATGTAATGGTCAACAAAAATATACAGGTTGGGAAATGGTTAAACAAGGGACATACAATGCATTAATTGGACAAACAAATTACTATGATTCAAATGCGATATCATTTGAAGATTCTCATATTGCTTTTAAAAGATCATTAGGTGAAGGCTTTGCATGGGAAGTTCTTGAAGTTTATTCTGGTCCACCAACAGTTACATTTACATGGAAACATTTTGGTCGAATGACAGATTATTTTTCTTGTCCAGGTTTATCTGGTTTTGTTTATAAAGCTGATCCAACTAATAAAATGGTTAAAATTTATGGAATGTGTAAAGCTACTGTTAATGAAAATTTTCAAATTCAGGATTTACAAGTTTTTTATGATCCAAGTCAATTATTTACACAATTAACTGAAATTTGTCCATTCGCTCCATTTATGAAATTACCAAATGACAATCTTACAAAAAACAAAGGAGTTGAAAAAGAACAAAATAATATTCTTCCATTTTCTAATAACAAAAACTTAAAAAAAGAAGATTATGTCAATAATTCAACAAATCCTCAATCAAAAATGTGTATTATTTGTTAAATAAACATTTTTATTGATTTATTTATTTCAATAAATAAAATTTATTTGATTTCATTTTTGTTTTTGTTTTAAAATAAAATTCAAAAAAAATTCAAAAAACTTTCAAATAAAACAATGCAGTTTGCTATATTCAATATATGTTTGATATGTAAGTTTTCTTTGAAAAAATAATATTTTAGAAGACTTCTTTATTGGGTTTTAAAAGTGTTATATATAAATAGATAGTTGTTTTTCAAGTGAAAATAAACGTCGAGAGATTGATTGATATTAATCATTTTCTTTAAAGATAAATAAAATCTATTGAATTAATAAATATTAATCTTTGTTTAAAAAAATATAGTTGACAGTAATATTCGAAGGTGGACTAAATACTTGAAGTACTCGTACGTGAGAATAAAATACTTGTCATTATAAATAAAGTATATTTTATTAAAAATTTCTATGCTTTTCTACTCTCAAATGTTCTACTAAAAATTTCTGGACTTTCTATAATCTCTTAAGATATTTATCTTGAAAAAGTTTGGTCTCAAAGAGACTAAAAACAGACAGTTTAAGTCAAAATAGACTAACCACATTATATAATTCAACTTTAATGTTAACTCTTTTTTTTGGTGTGTTGTGCTCTAATCTATTTTTTCTGGCTATTTGACCTCTTTTGTGAAAAAAATGAAATGATATTTGTTAGTAATTTTATTGGGCAGTACATAGATATGACCTGTCTCCTCATACGTGCATTCATTCTATTCTTCACTGATGTCCATTGTGGTTAGTGTCAACAAAGCGATCGAACAGACTAATAAATATATATTAACTCAAGACACATGATTGGTGTTTTTATGTAATAACGACAATTGTATTGGTTAAATTAGTATTATATTTCTCCACCAATTTCAAGTCTAAATATACATTTATTTATGCGTGTGTATAATCATATCGACAAAAGAATTACAATTGATATTAAACATGGATCGATCAAATATTCATCTTCTCGATTTACCAAATGAGATATTAATTTATATTTTAAAGAAACTTGACAATATCGATGTTCTTTATTCATTGTTTGGTATAATGAACAAACGACTTAATGCTCTAACACAAGAAGAAGTTTTTTCCAATACTCTCAATTTTGCATCAAATATTCATGAAACTAGAATAATTGATCGATTTTGTAATTATATATTACCTCGAATTCATTTTAATGTCAAATGTTTGATTGTTGAATCTACATCTATGGAACGTATTCTTCTTGCTACTTCTTATCCAAATTTGACAGAACTGAATATTTCTAATTTTCAGCGCGATACTTTATTACATTATTTAACAGGTAATTATATTTGATACATATTCCATTCTATTAGATACAAAGCTAATAATATCGAACAGTATTTTATATTGTACTTTTATTTAGACGATTCATCTCTACAATATATCTTGAAACAACAGATCACAAAACTTAGTCTTATAAATTATGATTGTTACAATGCAGTAGAATCATTAACAGATTATACAAAAAAGGTGTATATACATATATTGAATTATTTGGAAAATCTTGAATATTTAAATATTATTGAAACATCAAATAATAAATATCGACCTTTATCAATTCGTTATTTATCAACAAATACTTTTTCTTCTTCTAATCTTACATACTTATGTCTTAATGTGGAAACTTTCGATGATTGTCTTGGCTTACTCGATGGTCGTCTGAAACAACTGACCACATTTATTGTTAAATTTCATCGAATGATTAAAAATTCGCCAATAGTTTACAATTCAGTAAGTGAACTTTACTCCAGTACAATTTTTGTACAAATTGCTGTCAGTTTTGAGTTAAAGACGATTAGAAAATTCATGAATGATGATAATTCATGAGAAAGTAATAGAGATATATGTAGAGACTCTTATTTGCTCAATGAACACAAATAGTTAAATGAAACTGTCTCTTGCATGTTTTTAGAAGCAAATCATTTTTACTAATTTTAAAACTATGAAAAGGCTTATAAAAAGGTATATTTAAATCTTTAGATATCTCTTAAACTTCTTTGAGAATAAGCTTTTAACTTTTTCTCTCTGATGAAACACAAGAAAAATTAAATCTTACTCTAATAATTTAAACAAACAAACAAACAGTTGAAATAATGAGATAAATATAATGAAAACAAGATCTTTTCTGCGCCCATTATAACTAATATAACTGCTGAATAGAGTTAGTTGCTCTTCTAAAAAAAATAATCTTGAGTTTATTAAAATTGAAAATCGTTTGATTTAATTTTTTTCGATTGTTGTCAACAGAGAAAAGGAAAAATTTTTCAATTAAGTCTGTCGTATTATTTATACTTCTGTATTAAGAGAACTTTTTAAATAATAATTTCTATTTTATAGAATCATCTACCTAAAATGAAATGTTTTTCTTTAATATATTATGGTTTAATTAAAGAATATGATAATAAATTTATATCTCTTCTTCGTCGTATGTTATATCTGAAAAAATTAACTTTATATTTACGTATCGGCATTCAAAATAGATTTATAGATCCAATTTATATTATAAATGAACTTTCCACATGCATGTCACAACTTCAATCATTCAAATTTTATCTTAGTAGTGACAACACTCGAGATAATTTAATTCATCATATGCCTACTAATAATATACAACAAAACTATATGAATATTGGATTTAAAGAAATATGGAATATTGTACATGTTGCTAAACCAGGTACATATCATATATTTACGCCACCGTTTGAGTTTGTCCAACTACACAATATTGGCAATACATTTCCGAATATCATATTTAATTCTGTTACAGAATTACATGTAAATGATGATGTTCGATTTGAACATGAATTCTTTCTAAGAATAGCGAAAGCTTTTCCATTTCTGAAGCAGTTTTCTGTTATTAATTATGCACCACAATTACACTTTGAAAACACATCATTCGACAATATTCAATTGTATGAAATCATTGAATATCCTCGTCTAACTTCACTTGACATTGAAGGAGTCGATATTACTTACACTGAACAATTTCTAAATGAAAATAGGACATACCTACCTAATCTCGTTAAATTAATTGTTTCACATGAAAATTTAAGAATTACTACAGAAAATTTTACTAGGGATCTAACACGACGGAACTGTGCAAATATTAAAGAATTATCAACGGAACGACAATTTGTTGGCTCAAAAGAATATTACACATATTTTCCATCGTTATAAAAAAATTGGCGTTTATTTTTCTTTTTAAATATAAAATAAAAAATCTTTTTCTTTGATAATGCTCGCGGAATTTTCTTCTGGTTTTCATATGAAATATTAAGTTTTTTTTATCAATTTTGTCGATTGATACTACCATACTTTTAATATCTTTCGAAGATAGATATGCATCTCTATTTAAGTTTTATAAATTGACGATTATATTTACACAATGAATTCAGTTGATTTTGTTCTTTATTTAATTAACAAGTATTGAACAATGTTCAAGTAGTCCAATGCAAAAAATAAAAGCGACCTCTTATTATAGAATTTAAATGCAGACTTTTTTCTTGCAAAATCCTGATAAAACTCATAAGAAAAGACAATTATAATGATATTATTGTGATGAATATCTCATCGTGTATATTCCAAAAACAAAAAGAATTGAATGAATATAAAATGAAAAAACGACAATAAGACGAACGCATATGAATGCAAAAACAAGAAAGAATCGAATGAATAGAAAATGAAAAAACGACAATAAGACGAACGCATATGTATGCAAAAACAAAAAGGAGTGAAGCATACCATAAGCACATATCATGTCCAGTGGACATGACAATTATTATTTTTTTGTTATTTATTTTCTTTGTTGTCTTGTTTCGCTTGTTCATCAAGGTTATCTAAAATAAAATAAATAAGTATTTTTTTACGAAGTTTAAGCAAAGGGAAAAAAAGCATAATGGAAGTACTTCAAAGTACTTTAAAGTAGCTCGATAAAGCTGTTACAGTTGACGTGAGAATTTAGTTGAGACTGGACTGCGAGAAGATAAAAATGAAAAACTTTTTCTGAAAGAGAAAATCTTCGTACATAAAAAGAATTTTATAATTAGCATGATATCACGTACGTCCGTAACAGAACATAGAAATTTTCATCAGATTTATTACATGAAGAAATATTTTGAATTAGATCTATAGATTTAGTTAAAACTGAATTTGTTTAAATCAATTCTCACCCATATTCTAATGTGTTGATACACACTTTCTATTGATTCAATACTATGATTTGAACCTATCATGTGTTTGTGTACAACTAATGATCTTTTTCATATATTTATGCGTCAATTGATTAATTCCTATCGAGCTAACTTGAATTTTTAAAATCTTTTAATACTTATCAAAAAAAAGATAATCGAATAAGAAACCTACACGACCGATCCCTGTTCGATATAAATGAAATAGAAAGACAAAATTTCTATCTCTTACATCTGAATAGATCATACAAAATCTTTATATCTAGGAAAATAAAACAGTTTAACGTAAATAATTGTATACTTTCTATGAAAAAACAATCAATCGCTGAATGTTTCTTATGTTCTAGTGATAAAAAAAAGAATCAATTGAGTTTTAGAGAAAAAAACGTTTTTCTTTCTTCAAAAGAAAGTCAATGTTTTGCATGTCCCGCTCATTAAAACAACTTATCTATCATATGAGAAAATAAACTTCCTTTTTTTCTATACATTGATATCAATATCCTACATGTTCCGTTTAGAAAAAAATCTATCTGTTTATAACAAAACAAATTTTCTCGGATTTTTATATAAATTTCAATAACTAGTATATCTCGATAAAAAAAAATTATCTATTCAAAAGAAGAAAACTTTATTTTTATACAAATTTCAAATGTCATATACGTTCCCACTTTGAAAAAGTAACTATATACTCAAATGAATATAATTAAGTAACATTACTTTTTTCTTATATTCTATATAAACTTATCTTTTAAATTATTAATATATTTCAAATCATTCATATTTTTACTTAGTTTTTCGTAAAAAGAAAATGATCTGTTGTATCTGAAATAATTACTTATTTCTTGCTCAAAGTTGTTGTTTGCTTGTACACATTGATATCTTTCGTCCAATAACCTGTAAATGGTATTTTCAATACCGTCCTTCGTTTCAATCTTCAAACTAACATTGTACAAAAGGTGTTGTCCCTCGTTAAGTTGTTCGTCGATTTTATTTATTCTTGTCACATTTTTTGTGATCTAAATCAAGTAATATATAGGGTGTTTCATAAGTTTCGACCCCTTATCAAAGACGAGTTATTTTCTATGACAAACTTATATACAGTAGTTGATCAAAGTATATGGTTTTGTAAAGAAAACGACGGGCTATCTTACTATAATAAAATGTTTTAGAAGCGATCATATGACCATTTTATTCGTCTCGAGTAAGGTTTTTTATTTCGTGATTTCAAAAAAAAAAACAATAGTTACATCAAATATTTCTCGAAAAAAACAACTAAATGATTCATAGTTTTATCATACAAATGTACTTTTCTTAGAAATCATATCAATAATCATATGTTTTTGAATAAAAACATCAATAATCAATGTATGAAAATAATCAACACCATTGCAAAACGACTAAAGGCAATCGTTCGAAAAGAAGGTCAGTGGGTAACCAAAGGTGATTATTGGCGATTACTGATGATTATTGATATGATTTCTAAGAAAAGTACATTTGTATGATAAAACTATGAATCATTTAGTTGGTTTTTTCGAGAAATATTTGATGTAACTATTGTTTTTTTTTGAAATCACGAAATAAAAAACCTTACTCGAGACGAATAAAATGGTCATATGATCGTCTTACATTGATGCATTCTAAAACATTTCATTATAGAAAGATAGCCCGTCGTTTTCTCTATAAAATCATATACTTTGATCAACTACTGTATATAAGTTTGTCATAGAAAATAATTCATCTTTGATAAGGGGTCGAAACTTATGAAACACCCTTTACATTACCTTTTCATCGAGTTCTTCTTGCGGTTCCATTTGGAATGAGTGTACAAACTATATATAATCCAAAAATTATTTTTAAAAATTAAGAAAATTATCTTATTAAAGTTATATTATCTTACATTCGTAAATACAACTGGATATTGTAAAAGTGAATATGAGAGTAAATTATTTATTTTTCTTTGTATTTTTATACGTAAAAATATATGTTTTTTTTTAAGAATACATGCGAAAATGTGATCTGTCTGGCTATGTGTTAACATTCCGGCATGTTCTTATTTAATTTCTTATTGATAAAAAAAAACTGCTTATATTATTTCAAAGACGTTGTCTACATATGAATGTGTATTTAGAATCTAGTTGAGACTTCAATATTATATGATAGATTTGCAATAAGAAATGTAGCTATAAATCGATAAAAATTTATTGTTCAATATACTGATATTTATTTATATAAAACTAAGAATTTCTTTGAAATAGAATTAATAAGATAAAGAATTTTATTTCAATTTATTAATATATCTATATTATTTGTTAATACTTTTTTTAAAGATAATTTTAGTATTTAAAAAAAAATGAAATAAATATTAGTAATAAAATATAAATGATTATTTAAATCATAAGTTAATTTTATTAATAAATCTTTGAATAATGTTTACATAATGTATCATCATCAAATTGATTTGTTAAAGATAATTCTTTATATTTCATAGATAAATATGTTTGAATTAATATTTTAGGAAAATGTTGTAATAATTGTTGATCATCGTTTAAATATTTTAATGCTTCATTTAAATTGTCAGGTAATGGATAAATATTATTTTGTAAACGTTGGTCTTCACTTAATTCATGAGGATCTTTTTCAGTTATAAATTTTAATTGAGATTTATCTTCAATTCCTAAACGTCCAGCAATAAGAATACTTAATAACGATAAATGTGGAGAAGATGTTCCATCCATTGGACGATATTCAAGATTATATTGTTGATCAATTGATTTATTTGAAAAATCAATTGTTGGACAGATTCGTATTGGTGTTTTACGATTTCTATAACCAATCGATGTATATGCACTACTCCAATTATTTGGTTTTAAACGTAAATAAGATACAGGTGTTGGTGCTGTTATTGCACAAAGTGATCTTAAATGATTAAGAATACCTGATGACCATTGTTCTCCAAGTATGGATAAATTATACGGACGTTGTTTATCATAAAATAAATAATTTCCATTTGAATCTTTCATACTAATATGTAAATGAACACCATTTGATATCGAATTTGCTGATGTTAATGGAGAAAATGATACATTTAAATCCATTTGTTGAGCTAAATCACGTATTATTTCTCTTATAGAAACAGCTCTATCAGCAGCTGTTAATGGATCAGATGGTTTACAAGTTATTTCATATTGATTTTTTCCATATTCAGATAAAAAATTTTCTGGTTGAATATTTGCATATTCAAGTGAAGACATTAACCAACTTGAAAATTGATTTTGTTGACGTTGTGATTGAAATGAAAATGCTGGATAAGAATTGGAATCATTTTTATTAATTAATGTAAATTCATGTTCAAATGAAACATTTATATCAATATCAAATTTATCTTTATAATATTTTATTTCTTTTTTTAATAAATTTCGTGGACAACAATCCCAATTATTTCCATTTGTTTCAACAATATCACAATGAATTAAATCAAATGGTTGATTTTTTAGATTTGGTCCATTTGGAATTGTTATTCGAGCATTTTTATCTGGTAAAAGACGTAAATCACCTTGTGAACCCCATGAATTTGATTCATCAATAATATCTTGTGGTGTTAGAGCACTATCCGCTGGTACCCATCCACAACCAGTAGTCATATATTCATCTAATTTGGACGTTAATACTGAACGACCACGAGTTATACCAATTAAATCAGTTGTTACTAATGTTGTTAATGACATTGGTTTGATTTCATTTGATTTTTCAATTAAATTCTTATTTGATTCTTAAGAAAATAAAATTTATTTGAAATAAAACTAAAAAATAAAAAAAAAACCTTGAATTTTTTTAATAAGTTCTTTTGTGTTAAGAATTGTACAATAACCTTTAAAAGCATTTAAAGCATTTTCATGTCTTTCTAATGTATGAGTTGTACAAGCATCTTTAATACAAATAACTTGATAACCTTTATCAGCACCATCTCTAATAGCCATATCAACACATTGATCAGTTAACATTCCCATAATAATAAGATAATTTTTTTCAAGATTTCTTAAAATATAATCAATATTCGTTGAATTAAAAACACCTGAACTTGTTTTTTTTAACCAAATATCATCTTCATTAGGTTTAACTTCATCAATAACTTTTCCAAGATAAGAATTTTTTGGAATAAATATATTTGATAATTTATGATCTAAACTTCTATCACGACCATCGGAAGTTAAACTTTCAATAGTTGTATAAATTATTTCCATTTTAAGTGAACGTCCTAATTCAATAATTTGTTTCATATTTGGTAAACAAATTTCCGTTATTTGTTGATAATACCATGGATAGTTTTCTTTATGATAATTATCTATTTCACTATTTTGAACATCAACTAATAATATTGCTGTTTGATTTATTGGAATTGTTTTTATTCTTTCAAAACTCATCTTTATCTTTTAAAATATATTATTATTCTTCTTATCATATCATTGTCACTTATTCATTTAAAACGATTGGATTATTTTTTCTAATCAATCACAATTCAAATATAAAGAGGTGTCATTAGATTATTACATATACATTTAAATATTATTAATAGCAGAAATAAAATTTTTATTTTTATTATAAATCAATCAAATAAATAAGATTTTCATATGTAAATTTATCATGTTGCTGAGAAGATTAAAATATAGAACTATATAAATATCTATATTCTTATTATATTATATTTCTAAACGTTTTATTTTACTGGAAAAAGTTTCAAAATAAAACTGTAATTGACAGTAACAACAATACTTCAAATTCATTTATATCAGTAATAGAAAAATATATATTTTAACAAAAAATATTGATACATAAGTTTAATAAAATGGCTTTACTTTAGTAGTACAAATAAAATCCTTACATGTTATTTTCTCGATAAATCATATTACTTTACTGAACGATGACTATGAAAGTAAACCATTAAAAAATCTATCATATTCATAATGATCACTAACATAATTTTAAATATAAACATGTTTTTCAATTTATTTTGTTAGTTGTTCATGTGATCATTGATGAAAAGCTAAAATATTTGTTGAACCTATAAACTAAAATAGAATTCTAAAGTGAATATGAATTAGTTTTTACTCTTTTTCTTATTGGCTTCGACGAAAGGTGAGCAGAAAATAGTACATTTCGCACGTCCTGCTGTTCTCTCCTGCAGGCGAGGGTTTCACTTTTTGTCTTGTCCTGAGTTCACCTCTACTTCGATAAACAAACCATGTGAGAGCGAGATAAATAGATAGATAATAGAAAAAGTTCGAATTGAAAAGAAAGAAAAAGAGACGAGACGATTATGTATTCTCAAAGAAAAGAGTCCTGCACAAAACAAAGATAATAAGAATAGTTGTGAGGTAGAAAGAATAAAATATGAATATATTAAATAATGAAATATTTGAAAATGTAACAACATCCACTGCTAATCCACCTCATAATGAATTTCCAATATGGGCTGGTTATGTATCTGTAATAATATCTGTTATATTTTTTGGTACAAATTTTGTTCCAGCTGCTAAATATAAAATAGGTGATGGAGTTTCATTTCAATTTTTTTTATGTTGTGGAATTTGGGTAACGGGTGTTGTTGTTCATATTATTGTTGGAAATTATTATTTTTATCCATTAGTTATTGTTGGTGGAGTTTTATGGACAACAGGTAATGTTCTTTCAGTATTTGTTATACCAATCAATGGTCTTGGTGTATCAATGTTATTATGGTGTACTTCAAATTTATTTATAGGTAATTTAAAAAGAAAAAAATAGAAAAAAAAAATCAAATTGATTTTTTTTCTAAAAATAAAAGGATGGGCAAGTGGACATTTTGGATGGTTTGGTTTAAAAGCTGAAAAAGTTGAAAAACCAATATTAAATTATCTTGGTGTAGCCATTGCTGTTATTAGTGGTTTAATATTTCTTGCTATTCGTATTGGTAAAAAAGAAGATGACGTATTTTCAATTGATTCATCTCAATCTCCAATATTAAATTCATCAGTTGAAGATATTGATAATAGTAATAATCCATCAAATACAACTCTTCGAATGCGTATTATTGGTTATATATTAGCTATTTTAAGTGGAGTATTATTTGGTCTTGTATTTACTCCATCAACATATATACAAGATCATCATGATCAATATAAAAATGCAACAAAAAATGGTCTTGATTATATATTTTCATTATATACAGGAATATTTTTTTCTTCATTTATCTATTATGCAATATATATTATAATGAAACGTAATCGTCCATATATTTGTGTTGAAAGTATATTTCCAGCATTTTTATCTGGTATTATGTGGGCAATAGCAGAAGCAGGTTTTATTGTTGCTAATAGTGTATTAAGTCAAGCTATTTCATTTCCATTAATATCAATTGGACCAGGAACAATAGCTGCACTTTGGTCAATATTATATATTAAAGATATAAGAGGTTCGAGAAATTATATTATTTTTTCAATTGGAACATTTATTAGAATAATTGCTGCTGTTTTTATTATTTTATCCAAACCTATTCCAAATTAATTTTATATTACCATTAATTAAATTATATATTGAAGAATTTTATTTGAAATTAATATCAAATCATGTATGATTGTTTAACACAAACAAATAAATCTTCTTCAATATTTATTATTATTATTTAATTCATATATTAAAATAAATCCAATTTACATTGAAATTATTGCTGAACTTTAATATTTTTATTTATTAGTTATCTTTTTTTTATGAAATTATCAATGTTGAGGATGAGGATATAACATAGACTATATTTAACTTTAGAGGCAGACCCAAGGGGGCAGGAGCTGGCACCCAGCACCGAACAAGTGCTGAGACGCTGAACGGGTGCTGAGGTGTTGAGCAAGTGCTGAGGTGCTGAACAGATGCTGAGCCGAGGGATAAAAGCTGGCACCCAGCACTCAGCACCTATTCAGCGCCTGCGCAACATCTTCGCACCCGTTCAGCACCTCAGCACCTGTTCAGTGTTTTTCGGTGCTCGTTGCCAGCTCTTACCTCCTTGGCTGAGGTGCTGAATAGGTGCTTAGGTGCTGAACAGGTCCTAAATAGGTGCTGAGTGCCAGCTATTACCCCCTTAGGCAGACCCCATTCACACAATGGAAAATATTTGATTAAAAGAGATTTTTAAAAAAATAAGTGAAATATATTTTAATAAAAAAGAATATTTAACAAAGAAAATTAATTACAAAGTTTCTTCTAATTTTGCTATATTATTCGCTTGTGATCGTCTATTTAATGATGGATTTAGTGAACTAGTTGCAATAACTGAAAGTCTTCTCTGTTCATTTTGAATATGATGAGAAATTGAACCACGTACCATCGAATTGATTTGTTGTTCAGTTAATTGTTCATTAATACTCGAATTTTTCCATTCATAAGCTTGTTCTCCATGTTCTTCATGATCTAAACCAATTTCTTCATCATATTCAATTTTTAATCCAACTATTTTATCAATAATTTTTAATAAAATAATCGTAATTATTGCTGACCATAAACCAGTAACACAAACAGCCATTGTTTGAATCCCAAGAAGATATGGACTATGTGAACCAAAAAATAATCCATCACGACCATCATTATTAAAAGCTTTTTCACCAAAAAATCCAATTGCAATTGAACCAATAACACCAGTTATACCATGAACACTTGAAACATCTAAATAAAATAGAATTTGAGATTTCAATTTTAAAAATCAAAATAAAATCTATATTAACCAAGTGCATCATCAATACGTAATTTATGTTTAATTAATAAAATACTAAAATACGAAGAAAAACCAAGAATAACTCCAATAACAGCACCATATTGTGGATCAATATAACCAGAAGCAGGTGTTATACCAGCTAAACCAGCAATAACACCATTAAGAACAGCTGTTGCTGATGGTTTATGTCTTATCCATGATATAATTAACCAAACAACTCCACTTGTAGTAGCTGCTCGTTGTGTTGCAACAACAGTTGATACAGCTAATGATCCACTTTGTAATGCACTTCCAGCATTAAAACCAAACCATGATGTCCAAAGAAGTGCACCTCCAAGTGCTGCTAATGGTAAATTTGATGGAGGAAATTCGCCATTATATTTATCAAAATCTTTTCTTTGTCCTAAAACAATTCCACATATTAATGCTGATACACCTGATGTTGTATGAATAACTAATCCACCTGCAAAATCCTTATGAAATTTTATTTTATTTTATTTCAATAAAAAGAAATCAAAATGAACTAACTTGTACTTCAAACATTTTATTTAACCATCCATCACCCCAAATCCAATGTGCAACTGGATAATAAATAAATAATTCCCAACCAATAATAAATAAAACATATGCTTTATATTGAAGTCTTTCAGCAAATGCTCCTGTTATTAATAATGGTGATATTGCTGCAAACATCATTTGAAAAAAACCAAATAAAGCAGCTGGAATATTTGGAGAATGTCGTGAACAACTTGTATATGGAACATCTAACATAAGGATATTACTAAAATCTCCAATAACACCTCCATAAGAATGTCCAAATACCAATGTATAACCAATTAAATGCCACATTACTGATAAGATTGATGCACCACCAATGATTTGTGTTACTAATGAGACCGTATTGATACTTTTTAATAATCCAGCTAAAAAAGATTTTTTTTTTAAAATAAAAAAACAAAATTTAATTAACCTTCAAAAAAAGCTAAAGCTGGCATCATTGATAATACTAATATAGATGATATTAATACCCATGTTGTATCACCTGTATTTATACAACTATCAGTTTCATTTGAAAAAACCATTTTATTTTCATTTACGATTTCTATTTAATATTATTTTAACATTTATTATTTATTTTATATATACTTTTTCTTATCCTTATCTTAGAATAACATTGATATTAACTTATTATTTAATCTTTTTTTCTATTATATTCTAAACAATTATCTATTCAAAATTAACCGAACTAATTTGAAAGATTTTTTATTTTCAAATCAAATTTTTACTTCAACAAATATCTTAGATTAAAAATAAAGTTTTCTTACATAATGCCCTAGAATTTATTTGTGAGTTATGAAAAATGAATCATTATTTATGTTTTTCTTTCTTTAACATCGCGATAATAAATGTAATAATGTTATAACATACATTTCTACTGAAAATATTCTTTATTTTTATATCAAACTTGATTCATACTTTAAAAATTTTTATCTAAAATAAAAAAAACTTATTCATAATGATTTTTATTGTCAATATGAGATAAACTTAGAAAATGTTTTTACTGAAAATAAGTTTCTTTAGAAATATATATAAGAAAGTTTTAATTAATAGATTTGTTTGCACTCTGAAATATTCTTATCTAACATATAGAAAAATCTTATCATTATCATCTTGATTCATGAACAAACAAGTTATGAAAAGAATAAAATTTCTGGATGACTTTTTCTAATGTAATTATTCAAAAGAAAGAAATTATTATTCATCATCAACATTAAATCTTGAGAGTGGGTGTGGGTGTGACTGTAATTTGAAAGCGACGCCTACCCTCAACTTCTAGAAAATATCAAACAGTCTTATTGATTTCAGAGGAATATTGGACAATTCTAAAGAATCGTAGAGAATTTATGAGAATTTAGAATCTCAGGGTTTGCTATTTAAGTTGATGGTGAGGGTGAAGATGATTAAATGTATTTATTATTAATACTAGTGTCCTCGCCAATATTATGACAATCATATTGTCACAACCACACCCTTCGGAAAGATTCAATTAAAATATTGAAAAATTCTTCAATGGCAAAATGAGTAAAGATTTTGTTGTTTAAAACTATATTTTAGGAATAAAGGATATTTAATAAAATAAGCAAAAATAAAGATAAAAGACACAATTATAGAATGGTTATTCTAGTGTTAGCGAAGACGGTGAAGTACTTTACCTCATCTACTAGTATTAACAACAAAAACATTCATTGATAGTTAATCGAAAATTAAAATAAATAGAAAATAGTTCGGATTGTTAGCAATAAGGATAACAGGTGACGTTAGAAGTTGCTCTATTGATAGCAACCAATGCAATGATTAATCCAATCCACGCAGCGAGTCCTGCTAACGTCACTAAAATGTTAAAAATGAGTGCTAATGTACTCATTGTTCTTGCTCCGCTTGCATCATTGGAAGTTTTGCGACTTCGACAGATGAGACTGAAGATTAATGGAAGAAATCCAAGAAGACACCAGCCAACAAAGATATTGGTAATTGACCACGGCAACCAATCACGAATTTGAGCAATCGAAGGATCAATGTAATTATTGGGCATTATATAGATTTGTCCTCCCGACTGCTGACCAAATGGTACCGGCCCTCCTTGCTGCATATTTGGCTGAGGAACATATTGTATTTGTGGCTGCATGTATGGTTTTTGATCGGACTGTGCTTGTTCTGGAGTAGCATATGTGGCAGCTCGTGACGGATCTGAATAATTTGGGCTGGTCATTATACAATCAATTGATCTTTCAAATAAAAAATAATCACAAAAAAACGCTCTAAAATAAAAAATATATCAGTTAATTAAAATGTATATGCACAAATTTCATTCAAGTTTTCGATTGACCAGAACTTATTTTATTAATAGAGTTTTCATTCCAGCTATAATTACTTAAAATTTGGCTTGAAATAAAAAATTTAAATGCTCCATACCTACACTCATTCCAGGCAAATACTTCAGTAATTAGCTGAAAAACATATCAGATAAGTATGTGGGAATATGCAAAGATGTTGTGTGCAGAAAAGAGAAAATAAACAAGTAGGAAACACATCTTCACTCTCGTCCTACACATATTCATACTATACTACTGAAGAAAAGTTTATATCGAATTCTTTTTTGATGGCAGACAGTAAACACTTTCTAACCAACAAAATTGTGTCGATTGCCATGATCTTGTTCTTTTTGTATGATTATTTATACATCTATATGTTGGAAATTTTTCGTTTCTTCCAGTTGCAAGAAAGTATGATTTTACGTAAGTCTTCCACACAAAATATTTTGACTACGGGGGGTATGCTTACATTTTATCGGTGAAAGTGTGAATAAAGGAAGAAACGCTAAATCATGATTTTGTGATTTAAAATGAGTTTACCTGATTTTAAATGAAACTATAGAGTTAACGTCAGTTTTAGTAAGTATTGTTTGGATTCCGTGCATGCTTTTTATATGACTGATAGTTTTATTGTCTTGATTGACGAATATTTTGCTTGATTAAAGTGCTCCTTGCTGTAATCTATGATCGATTGAACAATCTACATTATTACTAGCTATCAACAAGCATCTATTGCTTTTAGATTTAATATTTAATAATTGAGATCGGTGGGTAGGTGTGGGTGCAGATGTATGCGAGCAAAGAATACAATATCCACACCCACATCACCAAGTAAAACAATTTTTCTTATCTTAAAAAAAGCGATGAAAATTAATGATTTTAAGAAAAGAAGAAAAAGAAAAAAAATATTCACATGGATTTTATTTCGTGGAATTGCATTATGAATTAATATAGTTACGGAAATTATTTAATAATTCTACTTTTTTCGTGTGAGTATAAATATCTTGAAATAATTTTATTTATATTATAATTTGAATTATTAAACAAAGAACAGTATTTCAATGAAAAATAATATAAAACAAGATTTTATAATCAATGATTTAAATGACCAGGTAATTGTATATTGCTTCTTTGAATAGCTACACACATGAAGTATTAATATAAACTAAAACATAATGCACGACTATCAACTACTGATATATTTCGATACCTGCATATTGATTAAGAAAACATCTCTCTAAAGAAGCTGCCAATTATAATATGACGGAAATAGAAAAGGATTTCGTCTTATCGATTATGACGCATAAGCTTTAGGAGACAAAGAAAGAAGAAGATACATATATTCATTTGTTTAGCTTTATTTTAATCACATATTATTCAAGAGTCAACCGTATAGGTAAGTGAGTCGTTAAAATTGATCAAAACAAATACTGAACTTCACTTATATCATTTATATTATGTAATAGTATTATATAAACATTTAAAAACAACTGAAAAAAGAATATTTTCAAATTTTTTATATCAACAAGTAACGCGTTGCGGTCCCTTGAACCTCGCTCGACTTAGATGATAAACATATCGTCTTCTGTGTTTAATCGAAAGAGATTGCGAGTTATTTAGCTTGGCGTTCACAAGATTCGGTGAATCATTTTGAGGTTGTGGAGGATGTGAATGTGAATGTAGGTATCTTCAGTTGATCTTTACTTATTCAGATATAGGCAATTCCCATCTCTGTACTTATTCATACTCATAATGTTGCCCTTAAGCAGGGTACAACAATCAACAGAATCGAGTCATAGAGGAACAAAGAAAAGAAAAGCTTTCTTTTGTCTCAATTGTTTTAATGAGAAGCATGAAGCTATATACAATAACACAGTCAAGACGTTATATCTTTAGTCTTGTCTACAAATAAATAAAAAATAACTAATTTTTGGATAAGCTTTTTTTGTGAGGATTGAGGGAGTTTCACCACTGAGTTTTATTATCTCCAATATATTAATACCTCAGCTAGCTGTTCAAACTTGAAAGATCTTCTATATATGTGTCTAAGGAGGAGGTCATTCATACATATATGTATAAATGTGTGTTACTTTATCGGTTGATTCAATCCATTATGTTCTAATTACTTATATAATCTTCGTCTAATATGTGTACGCGAGCGACTGGAAAATAGAATAAATTTTAAAAAAAGTGAAGGAAATATTTTATTTATTTATTTATTTATCAATGAAATATTGTTTATAATTTACTTTTTACAATTTCAATACTCTCTTTTACGTCTGTAATATCAGGATGATTTGGAGGTAGTGCACTTTGCCATATGTTTTGAGCACGTTCATAAAATGAAAGTGCTTTCGCATAGTCTGTCATATTTCTATAAACCCAACCGATATTATTGTATGAAGTAGCCAATGAAGGATGATTTAAAGAAAGACTTTTTTGTCGAATTACAAGTGCTTTTTCGTAATATGAAAGTGCTTTCGTGTACTCTCCCATATTATCATAAACACTACCAATGTTATTATATGAAGTCGCCAACGATGGATGATTTGAAGGAAGAGTTTTTTGCTCAATTTCAAGTGTTTTTTCATAATATGAAAGTGCTTTCGAATACTCTCCGATGTTGTCATATACCAAACCAATATTGTTGTATGAAGTAGCCAGATCAGGATGATTTGAGGGAAGAGTGTTTTGTTGAATTTTAAGTGCTTTTCCATGAGACAGAAGTGCTTCCGAGTACTCCCCCATGTCGTAATACACACTACCAATGTTGCCATATGAAGTAGCTAATGAAGGATGATTGGGAGGAAGCGTCTTTTGTTGAATTTCGAATGCTTGTTCGTAAAATGAAAGTGCTGCTGCATATTCTCCCATGTCGTAATATACCAAACCGATGTTGTTGTATGAAGTAGCTAATGAAGGATGATTAGAAGGAAGAGTTTTTTCTTGAATTTCAAGCCCTTGTTTGTAATAAGAAATGGCCTTTTCATAATCACCTTGATTCCAATGGATACCTCCCAACTGGTTATAATAATGCGCCTTTTCAACTTCATCAGGTGTCTGTTCAAGTAATACATTGTAAAGTTCTTCAGCTTTATTAAATTGGCCGATTTTAAGCAATAAGTTACCCAATCTATGCCATCCAGTACTACCATCAGCTTCTTTACGTATGCGATCGGTAAGTAATCGTAGTTGTTGATCATCATCCGACGTTAACTGTAATTCAACTTGATAAAGTTGATTATTATCATCCATTTCTTTAATTACACTCACTCGAAAGACAGTGTGCATTGAGAAGAGAATTTCTTCTTCTTTCTCAAAATAACTCTCCTCTTTGAGGTAGGCAAATGGTGCTGATTTAATACAAGGATCAATCGACATTATGAAGAGAATGCCTACCATATCTGATTTTGTTGAAGCATGCTGAGCAAAATCGAGAGACACTTCTTTACTTTTACTTGTGGATAAGAAATTATTAAATGACATCAGTCCACCTTGTGTTTTCTCAAGTTTTTCAAAATCTGTTTTCATCAAACCTTGTCCTCGATAAACTAGAAAAGATGTTCTATCATAAGTATTGACTTGCTGTTGATACAGTTGTTGAATTTGTTGGTGAAGATCACGTAGAAAGAAACCCATATTAATGATTGTATCAGCGTCAAGAATTCGAAGTGCTCGATTCAGCATTTGATAAGTAAAACACTCACGCGTATACCACCATATTGCTTGTTGTGGATGATAATTATGTTCAAATTCATTAATAATATCTAATTCATAATTATTGTCGATATAGAGTTGACGACAATATACTGCTAAGTCGTTGATTGCCTTGTCACCATGATCCATACCAATGAGAATTTCCTTGAATATTTGAGTATACATAAAAGTTGGTTCCAACTGATTTAAATCAGCAGTCGAAGACATTTCGTTTATGGGGACAAAACTTACAGCAATCAAATCGTGATTGCATTGCTTAACATCCAGTTGCAATGCTTGACAAATGTCGTTGATGTTTGTATGAACACCTTTGATTTTTGTCCAATTTTGAGCCCATTCTTGATGTCTGGTTTTGTTATTACAGAAGATATAAATTGCATCTAATTGTGACATATCATGAATTTCTGGAACCAATTGTTCACCTAGAGAGCCTGATGTAATGACGAAGGCTCGCTCATCATCAACTTGATTGAGCAACTGGATACACTGGTCTGGTTGAGTACATAGGTTGACTTTGTTGACGATAGATTTCAATTGAGATAAAGTATTCTGGCAGTCATCGTTTGTTTCGTCGATGTTGGCATCTACCCAGACAAGAAGATAATTTTGAGCCATACGTTGTCGTGATAAATAAATATTGTATGATGTCGTTGGTTTTGAGGCTGTTGAAAGGTTTTCTGTTGACGTTTGTGCATTCATACTGTTTTGAAATATTTGTTAGTTTCTAACGATAAATAAAATAAATAATGGTTAATTTCATGGAAAACTAAAACTTGTCTTTTTTTATTGTCGCTTAAGGACAAACTTCACCTAGTTACTTTTAAAATTAATGTTGGAAAGTGTATGAAACAAGTCACAGCAAACAATTTTGTTGGCTACATCATTGAAAGAATGAACAAAAAGGAAGCTAACAAACTAGTTTCTTTTTATTGTTATTCTTTTCAATTTTCTCTTGCCTCTATCTACGCAATTATTATTGTAATATGTCAATGTATGGGCAACATTTTTCCCATTTAATTAGTGCAGAAAAAGAAATACAATTCTTTCAACAATTTTGTTTTTTTCTCTTACATGCTTAGTAAATGTGTACAATTTATCATAAAAAAATTATGTCAATAAATAAGAAAAAATCTCTTAATTCAACATTGATAAAAATAAGTCTGAAAAATCTTTTCTAGCGTGTGGTTGCGTACAAAATGATTTCAAACTTTTATTGAATATGATTTTGAAAAAGTAGAAAAATGTTAGAAAACTTTTCAGAATACTTTATAATTAATCGATTTTCAAGCTCTTAAAATTTTTCGATCTTAATTACTCTCAGAGATGTGTAACAAACAGAGATAGGACGAGTACAAGTACACCAAGTACAAGTAAAAGTATTTTGTACTAGCTTCATTTACTTTGCACTTAACTTGGTAAGGTTTTACTTAAATATTTTGTACTTAGTATCAGTAAAAAGTACATATGCTAAGTACTTTTATTCTTGAGCATAATTCGATGCTAACATAGTCTTAAATAACATTTAAATGATCCTGTTAAATCAAAATTCTCAGTGTACTGGTCATATTCTCAATCAAAATTTATTAAAAAAACTTGTTTTTCGAATTTTCTCTGTACAAGCTTCCTCTGCACCGATCGAAAGAGTATTTTCAAATGCAGGCTTAGTTTTAACGGCCCGACGAACAAGAATGAATGAGCAGTTGTTTAAAAATATGGTGTTTCTAAGAGTAAATCAATCTTTATTATGAATTAATATTACATCAAATTTTACGACAGCTGTTCTCTCGTTTATCATATATTTTTAATCTATTTTTTTGTGCTTGCTTTTATCTTATATTTTTTAAAGGAAAAGTTGTTACAGTATTTGGTTGATGACTTTTTCTTTTCAATAAATTTTTTTATCATTCATCTAAAATTGCTCACTGTATGTAAAAGAAGAAGTCAAAGAAAATATCTGCACACTTATTGTAAGTCACATTCAAATAAAATAAAGTTTTATGAATACAATTAGAGAACAAACATTACTAAGATTTGGGGTACATAAATTAATAAAGAAAATTTATGTACGTAAGTTATACTGCAAAAGCGAGACAAAATGAAAAAATGTAAAAAATATCTTGAATAATTGAAAAAATATTGCACAAATAAATGTACCAGTAGCGTCAGCATTTAAATATCTAATAAGAAACTGTTTAAGTACATTTTGTACTAATTTTACTGTACTTAAGTAAATAAGTACCCAGTACCAGTACACAGTAACAATTTCTAAGTACAAGTATTTTACTTAGTATCCCATCTCTGACCCACACCCATCTTTGTTTTAGATTTGACAGATGGAAGCGATGTTGTGTGTACTTAAACAACGGTTAAAATCTATAGTTCTCAAGTAAATCAATAATGCACATGATTTTATTCATTATAAATTACAGAGATAATGTCTTAATAAAGAAAATGAGGCCATACGTACATTGGAGAAAATGGTATGATTAACAAGTCACAGAAGATTTCGTGCTAAATACGAAACTTAAAAATAGTTTCGTATATAGTGCGAAACTTGAAAAAGATTTCAATTTTTGAAACGAATTCTAAACCTTTTATTAATAAGATGATTTCATCATTATTGTATTGTTTATCTATAATAGAATATATTTGTAATATGGGTATTAATCATAAAAATAATATAGAAAAATGATGAATGTTTAAAATTAAATGATTCTTATCTGGTATAAGACAAATTGAGTTAGATATTAAAATAAAAGAATTTACTTTACAATTTAAATCTCATTATCCGATTTATTTATTTATTGAAATAAAACAAATGTTTTATGAACATATTTTTACTGGATTGACAAGTGGAGTTAAATGTCAACATTTTCAACAAATAAAAAAAGAAATTTTAGAGATATTTTCATATAAAACATTTATTCTTTCAAAACAAATTCAAGGAGATTTTATCTATAGAAAATATGGTTGACCAACTAGTTCAGGAACATTAATACAGGTTTTTATTGATGATGTTAATAAGATTATTGTAGATTTATATTATAAATGTTCTTCAATTAACAATTTCTTTTTTATCTATCAAAATAATCCAAATCGTCCATATTCATCAATAATAGCTTTATCAAATTCAATTAAAGATAAACAAATTTAAATTCGTCTTTTACTTGCATATGGAAATAAAAATCTTTTTTAAACACATCAATTTACTAAAAACTATGGAATTCATATAATTAGTTTACATTCAATACAATCTTCTCAAACATTATTATGTCAAAATTTAGCGGAAGATTTTAAAGATTCAACTATTTTATATAAGAATTATTCTTTTCCGTCATTTTCTAATTCATCAATTTCTGCCTTCAAAAAAAACTAAAATAAATAGATCAATTCATTCACATTTCTATACTTTGTCATTTTGTTTTTGGAGATTTATCAATTCTTACAAATTACTAATCAATAAAAAAAATACACAAATTTTTAAATGAAAAAATTATCTGATATTTTCTAGTTGAAAATTTATAAAAATACCACGATTGTAGTTCAATTGAAAACCAGCGGTAATCATAAGAAACTTTTCTTTATATAGTCGATTATCGTATGAGCTATACAATCGAATTAATATTCCACCAAAGAGCTATACATATGTATTTCAAAGTCTTTAAAATTTCTTTTTCGACTCATTTTCGTTTTATAATGCACTTAATGATTGTGAGGAGGAATTTAAATCATAAATTTTGTCTACTATCTATGATGGTGTTTGTTCGCTGATTTATACTACTTTTATAAATTCATGTGAGTTGACGTATATTGCTATAGACATTAGAATGACGGGGGGAAAGTACATGTTAGATATCGACAGCTAATCAACACCTTCTATCAATATTAGATTCTCAGGTACTCGCACTTTCTCCCTTGAATTTTGTATACATTTGATAACTATCTTCTTTCTATATCTTGTCAGATATTTCATATATAAAAGCAAAGTACGATAAAAAACATTTGAGTTGATAAACAATTTCAAGTTCTATTAGAGTCTATAGTTATTTATTTTCATTATGACGTATTTCTAAACGGAAACTAAAATATAAATATATAAAATCATCGAAAATTCCATTGTTTTAGAATATATAATTCTAGTTGTTAAAAAATGTTGTGTTGTAAATGTTATTAATAGATTGGAAATATCGAGAGAAAGTATTTACTACGACAGTAGAGATAATAGAAATATCTCATATTGAAATCAATGTAAATATTAATGATGAATTAAATAGATTTATTTGAAAAAAGTTTCATATTCTTTCGAAACATTATTTTATCAACAAATATTAACTAATCATTAAAAGAAAAGTTCTTGTTAATGTTCTCTCTCTCTCTCTGTATATATTTGTAGTTGTATACGACCTTTATTTTCTCTAAGGAAAAATGAAGAAAAACATGTGCATCTATATCTAAATGAGAAAGAAAATACGAATAAATATAATATTCAAAATAGTAGAAGTGTGTAAATGTGCGACATCATTCTCACCGTTTTTCTTTATTCGATAAGAATAAAAAGTAAAAAGTACGTGAACTTCTATGTGTCGAAAAACAAAAGAGATAATTGAAATCTAACTCTATTCTTATCAAAGAAAAAAAATCCTCTTTTCTTAACATTCAACTCTAGACGAAGTTTTGTTTAGATCTTTTACGTAAGTTAAAAAATGTCTCTTAATTTATGTGTTCTTCCTGATGTTAAACCAGATGAGAATGCGATAACTATTTCGCATGTTCGTGCTTATGTTATAAAATCAAAAGAAGTTGAAGAAACAGGAGGTGGATTTGCTGATTGTCATTCCCAAGCTGAAGGTCATTGGATTTTAGGTACAGATAAATGGCCAATTGCAAATCCAATGTCATATTATGAAAAATATAAAGCTCGTCGTTCAAGTTGGGGAATTGATGCAATTGGATCAGTTATTGTTGAAATTGAATTAACAAATGGAATAAAAGGTATTGGAATATCTATTGGTGGTGAACCAGCATGTTATATTATTGAAAAACATTTTAGTCGATTTCTTGAAGGACAAGATCCACTTAATATTGAATATTTATGGGATGTTATGTGGCGTTCATCTATTAATTATGGTCGAAAAGGTTTAACAATTCAATCAATATCAGCGATTGATCTTGCACTTTGGGATTGTGCTGGAAAATTAAGAAATGAACCGGTTTATAAATTACTTGGAGGAAAAACAAAAGATTGTTTACCTTGTTATGCAACATGTTATGATCCTCTAGCAGCGAAAAATTTAGGATTTAAAGGTGCAAAATTTCCTTTACCTTATGGACCAGCTGATGGTGATCAAGGAATGATGAAAAATATTGAAAGAATTAAACAAATACGTGAAAGTGTTGGACCGGATTTTCCATTAATGATTGATTGTTATATGTCATTAACTGTTTCTTATACATTAAAATTACTTGAATTAATTAAACCATTTAATATTAAATGGTGAGATCTTTTATTTTAAAATCAAATCAAATCAAATTTTCTTTTCTTTTTCTATAAAATAGGTTAGAAGAACATTTACCACCAGATCAATATTCAGGTTATGCTGAAGTTAAAAAACGAAATCCAACAACAATTTTATTAACTTGTGGTGAACATGAATATACACGTTGGGGATTTAAATTATTATTAGATAATAATTGTGCAGATTTACTTCAACCAGATGTGACATGGTGTGGTGGAATAACTGAAGCAAGAAGAATTGTTGCACTTGCATCAGCTTATGATATTCCAATTATTCCACATGGTTCATCGATTTATTCATATCATTTACAATATGCATTTCCTAATTTACCAATGAGTGAATTTCTTATTATGTCATCTGATAGTTCATCAATTGTACCTTATTTTGGTGATTTATTTACTGATGAACCATTACCTAAAGATGGATGGATTCATTTAGATGCAAACAAACCAGGATTTGGTGTTACAATTAATAAAAATAATCTTCGTCGACCTTATAATAGAGATGAAAAAGTAATTTAATACTTTTCTTTTAAAAAGAATTTTTAATCTTTTAATTAGAAGAATTTTTTTAAGAATAATTCAAATAAATTTTAATTTTTTTAATAATAATCAATAGTGATGTGAATTGATAAATTCTACTGAAAGAATGTGACTATGACGAGGGTGTGTATATATATGTCAATGAATTGTTTTTAAATATTAATTGAAAGGATAATCTAGCAATTGAATTTATTGAATAGTATTAATATTTGAAAAAATAAAATAAAATATCATTGAATAAATTATTGACAATTCTATAGAAGTTTCATTCCATTGATTTTCTTTTGTGAATATAAAAAAAAGAAAAGTAGAGTTGTATATTAAAATAAAACATATGATTGATATTTATTTGTTTGTAAATGAAAGTAAGAGTTGTATTGTTAATTTAAGATTGAAGGCCAACCCATTGTAATTTCCATTGAGCTGATCGTTCCATGAGTGTATTAGCATTTGCACCATCGATTGATCGAACATTGATAATAAATCCATAGTTCGTTGCTTCATAAATAGCATTAATACCTGTAAGAAGATAATGACCTACACCACCTGTAATACTTGTGAAATAAAGTGGTGGATTTTCAAATTGACAACTACTTGTATCGACATTCATTCGAATTGAATCATTTCGTTCTGTTCTCATCCAACGAGTTACAGGTGAAATACCTCCACAAGCACCACCACCAAATATGTTTCTATCACTAATTGTAGTTGAAATAGTAACAAAGAATACCAACACAAGAAAATTCATTTTCGAACCTTATTTAAAAATAATAAATCTATTGATTCCATTGATGAAAATTAGTTTATATAGAAATGTATCACGTCTTGTTATTTTGCAGAGAAATCGATCAAATAATATTATTGTTGAAATTGATCTGATAGTTTTAATACTATTTGTTGATTCATATTAAAGATTTAATGGCCTTGAGAAGGGATTTAAAAGCAATTTATAGAGGATCTCAAATAACAATTAAAATTGATCTACTTACACTCGTTTATCTCTATTATGACATAAAAAATCGAATATTGATAAAAGAGAAATGATAATAAATAAGTATTGAAGTTAATAGAATTTGTCTAAGTAATCGAATAAATTATTGGATATGAATAAAGAATACCAAATGTGATTTTCACATCGACATTTAAATAAGATATATCATTCTAGATAATATAATACATTCAAAGTAAATATCTGTCATTTCAAGCACATTTCACTTCTATGAAACAGAAATCAATAGTCGTTACTCATCCATAAACTTATTTATTATTTAAAAATATTTCTTAGATTTGTATATTTGAATTATTTATATAAAATTTCTCTTTAAATCTCTCTCAATAAAACATATAAACGACATTATCTTTCTTCTATATATATTTTATATTGTCAATGCATAAAATAATTTGAATATATTTTAATAAAAGACATTAAAGAATTATTTGTTAATTTAGTTACAAATACATATGAGATCTTATCTTGAAATTAATATTGTTTAGTTTAGCAAATATTTTCATTTTTCTAAATAACAAAAATCAACTACTCCGTTTCTTATCATAATCAAAGTTAAACATTAGATTTTAAGAAATTTATTCGAAATTCTACAAAATATTTTCTTTAATTTCAAACTGCTAATAATTATCAAAGAAAAAAAATCAATTTGGAAATAGTGAGAACAGTTCTTTTTTTTTTCTACTTTAATTATATTAAAAATAGTTAAAAGTACATTCTTTTTACGTGTTTACCTTGAGTAATGGAGCAGTGGCGGATTCAAAAATGAATGAGGGATGACGATTTGTGGGAGTGGGCGGTGGTTCTGGTGAAAAATTAGTTTTTGAGGCAAGTATAACATCCATTTCAATAGTTTCTACTGATGAAAAGAAAAAAAAGAATTGTGAGGGGATAGCAATCGTCGGAGTCCTAACGTCTGCGTCCGCCACTGTAATCGAGATAATATTTTGAATAATAATTATAACATTTCTACATATCAATTAAAAAGATTGATTAGAAATTTGAATGTCTAGTATGAAACAATTCAATAAATTCTTCAAATATTTCTTATTTTATCTTAACCATTTTGAAAATATTCATAAGATTTAATCAGATTCAGTTTTTGTTTTATGATTTATTCTATTCTATATGAACTTATAATAGACAACTAGATGAAATTTGTTCATTTCTCTTAATTTTACTATTGAATTGAAAATGATGAAATTTGAACGTTGGAATTGAATTTCTTTTGTTTTATTAATAAACAAAAATTGTTAAAAAGAAATATTTCACATGTTATTTTTATGTAGATAATATGAAAGTTAATTTCTTTTTCTTCTATTTCATCTCTATGATATAAACTAAAAAGATATTTTCTAATTGAAATAAAATATTCTTCTCAATTAACATAAAGGAAAAAGAAAATATATTAAATTGCATTTTAAAACTAATATTGAGCAATATCGTCAAACACACAAGTTTATGAAAGAAAAAAAAACGAGAGGAAATGTCTGGTTACTTTATAATTTCTCTCATAAATATTCCTGACTTTGAATCTAAAACAAAATGTTGTCAGTTTACAATTTTCTAATTGATATTGAACGAGAAAAGTATTTCAATGAAAAAAAGAAAAGAAAAAGGAAAGTAATATATTAAAATGCGTTTTTGTAGAATTAAAACAAAGAAACAAACGTCCTTTTTTTTTTAAAAGAAAAAAAGTAAATTAGTTACAACAATTTTCTTTTCAATAACAACATCATGTAAGTTTGAAGAAAATAATTAGTGATTTTTAATTCAAATTATCAATATGATTATTTACATTTCAAACATTTATTTCATAGAATTAAATAAAAATCTTCGTTCATTTACTTATTTTTCAGTTTAGTTAGAAAAAAGAAAAGAAATGAATTGTAGAATGCAATAGTTTAAATAGGAGATGTCGAAATAGAATTCAAAATTCATATTTACTTTCAATCAATTATTTTACTATCAGTTGTTTACGGATCTATAAAGAAAAATAATTCGACAATTTAATTACACATTTTACGGAAGGAAATAATAATAATGACACTTAGAGAGAAAGAGAGAGATTCAACTTGAGAATTTTTTTTTATATTGAAGTTTGTTAGAGAAAGTGATCCAACTATGATATTATACGTTTGTTTTATTCACGCTTACATATATACATAGATAGATAAATTACAAAATTATTCGATTGTTAAATTCCTCTCATTCAATTTTCATGATTTTTCCCCACTAAAATACTTCAATAAGTATTGAGAAAAAACTAATCGTTGTTATACAAATCTAGAATTTAAGAAAAACAATAAGAAAATATCTTAGAAAACTTTCTATTAGAAAATAAAAGAGTAGAAGAATTTTGTCAAATATTTTCAATAGGATACAAACTGATTAAATGAAATTAGAAGAGAATAAGTCTTTTTCAAAGAGTTGCAAATTCAATGTTTTATTGATATTCGATTAAAAATGATTTTTCTTCCATAAATATTTCAATTATTTCTTCTTTGATTAATTTCTAGTTTTCGTCATTTATGTAGATCTTAGATTTTTCAATGGATATCTTTATCTATGTTAAAATATCAAGAAAAATAATATGTTCGAATATAATTTCATTGAATCGAATTTCGTATAGGAAATGAATTTTGTCGAAATTTTGTTAATGTTCAATAATATAAATTAATATTAAAGAAAATAATTTGTTGTTCTCATATCTAATTGTGTCTAATTCGAATAAATTTGATCTTATGAGAGTTAAGATGTTTTTGATATTGATAGAAATAATTTGTTTGAATTATTTTAGATCGATTTATTTTTAACTAAAAATCTCTCTTCTATAAATGATATGGAAAATCATTTGAATTAATGGAATCGTTGAATAAAAGTGAATTATCTCAATGGATAATATGCAAAAATAAATTGAAAAGTTTATCTTCATTTCGTTCAATAATATTATTCATAACGATAATTGTTCTTATTGTTATTAGTAGTGGAAGTATTAAATTAAAACCATTGGAAGAACATCGAATCTATCTTTATTCGAAATATAAAAATGCTACTTCTTTTATTTTTTTTAATTCAATTGAAAAACAAAATAAGAATTTTACTTCGACAATTTTAAATTCGAAAGAAAAAAAAACGTTTGATGTTGTTCTTAGTTACTATGCCGAAGATCAAGCTTTTGTTGGAAGATATATTCGTTATATAAAAAATGTTTCTTCTCTTCAACAATTAAATATTCGTATAATAATTTATAATAAAAATTCTAATGTTAATAATACTCAATTAAAAGTGAATTTAAAAGCCGATATTGTTTATGGATTAAGTAATATTGGTCGTGAAGGTGCAACATTTCTTTATCATATTATTTCAAATTATAATAAACTTGCTGATCATATTATTTTTTCTCAAGCTGGTGTTGAAGGTATCAATGATAAAGGACTTGATGATTGGTATTATGATCGATTACAAAATCAATTTAATTCTTCACTTGGATATATGCCATTAGTTGTTAATCATATGATTAGTAAAGATATGTGTGGACATCATCCAACAGGAAATTTTCTAAGATTAGTTGATTTATGGGGAATGTTACAACAAACATTATGTCCAACTAATGGTTTCTCTGTATGTTATCAAATTACTTTTAGATTGAAATCAAATCAATCGTTATATTTAGGTTGCTTTTCGTGGTCAATTTCTTGTTAGTAAACAAAGAATTCTTCAAAAACCATTAAGTATTTATAAATATATTTATGAAATTATCACGGTAAATATTTTCATTTGACAAATTACAAAAACAAGTAACGCTCCTCCGAGGACTCGCTTAGCTCTTTCTCGTAAAAATGCATTTTCTTCACATTTACCGAAAAAACAAATGGAAACCGTGAAAAATTAGTTTTCGATGTTTTTTTGACCTTTGATCCCTCTTCACTCCCTTCCCTCCACATGGCCACCCAATAGTCCCTAGATTCGAACTCCTCGTATCGAAAAACCTATAGAAATATCTTTTTCGATGTTTTTTTGACTTTTCCACCCACCCTTAACCATGGTCACCCAATAGACCTCTAATTCGAACTCTACGCATCGAAAAACCTCTAGAAATGTTTTTTCCTGAAAATAGGTTTTCAATGTTTTTTTGACCCTGCGGACAGACAACCAGACAATTTATGTTTGCAAGACTCTTCTCTACGAGAAAGAGAATATTTATCCTATTAAGAAGAATTAGATCATTTCCATTTTTTCAAAAAATATTTCTAGTTGATCTTACTAATATTTTCATATTCTCTTTTTATAGAAATCGACTCAAATAAGAATATATTTACATGTAGAATAATAAAAAGAATTTCTTTCGTATTTTTATAATAAAATATTTCTATTTGTCTTGTTTAATCATAATATATGAAATATCAATAGATACTTTGACTAGATTATGAGATAACAAAATTCTGTTAAATATTTCTACAATATTTAATCATTTCTCAGTCAAATTCTTTGTTCGTTTTAATTGAAATTTTTAGTAGAATTATTTCAATATTCTTTATTTTTCTAATTGAGTGAAAAAATATGGAAAAATTTTCGATGTTTATAAATGTGATTGATTAATTGATATTTTTTCTTTTCTATTTCAAGGGACATAATACCCATTGGATTCATACAGATCCAAGAGCTCCACCAGGATTTTATTCCAAACCAGAACAACCTGTTTTTGGTTATGTTGTTGAACGTGCATGGACAATTATTTTTAATTGTACAGGTCTTGATCTAGCTGATCGGTGTGCTCAAAAAAAATGTGGATGTTATGATTAAGTCAGAGGAAAACTAATCAACAAACAAATCATAATACACTTTTTTCTTTTACTTAAAAAACGTTTTTTTCTATTTTGCTTTTCTTCAATATTTCATTTTTCATGCTCAATTAATATGCTATATTTTATTATTCAATGTTCGAAAGATAACAAAATAAAAATAAATAGGATCATTTACAATATACTTGTTTTTTTTTCGTTTTAAAATCTAATATGAGGAAGATATTGTTCTGATGATTAATCAAAGAAATCAATCTTAAGTGACTCCTATTGAACTTCTTGGCTTAAACTTCTATGGATCTTTTTACTTACTTTTAAATTTTCTATTACGACTTTTGCTACTTCAATTCAAATTGTTGATCTAGACTCACCCAAAAAAGTTGGGATGCGTGATTAAAAAAATATTGTTCACTTATTCGGATAAAAGTCTGTGTTTTTAACGAATAGATGATAAAACTTATCGAAAAATACCATATCGATTTAAAGATCATCTTGTTTGTGAAAGATCTGAAGATGAATTATGTTCCCATGCATTTATTTCAATTTAGAAATTTTGGGATAAAAATTGACCGGGGCTTAGAACTATCTTTTCTTCAATATGATTTTAATTTAAAATAAATATTTCGGTGATTATTCATCGGTAATCAATGTCAATGATCATTTTTTAAATGGAATAAGAACAAAATGAGGAAGTTCACAAAGAAGTATCATCAATATCATTGTTGTTCATTATAGTCTTCAAACAATAAACAACGAAAAATACAGAATTTCTGATATTGTCTCATATAGTGAGATATATAAATATTTATTATTTTAGTTTAATGATATTCATTAAATTGAATTGTATATTGCATCTTTTTTTACTGTTCAACCATAATTATCTTCATCTACTTCCAATACTAAAAAAATGAATGAATAATATAATTGAAGAATTAATCGAATGTTATTTCATACCTAAGAACATAACCTCACCGACTAATTTCAAAAGGCGTGGATTCAATCAATAACAAGCGATCGATCATATTACGTTGAATTTCTTTCGATAAAAACTAAAGATGAATGAATATGTCATGCGAGGGAAATTAAATAAAATTCTTTTTGTTTTTAGTTTAATGAAGAGATATTCGAAAAGTTATTTCTTGAAAACATTTTACCGTAAAATTTAATTATTCGAAATAAAAACATGTTTTTGTTAAATATATTTTTGACATATAAATATATAAATAACGCTAATTTTTGTTGATTCTCTGAAAGGAAAAAATAAAAAAACAAAAATAGAAAAATATTATGTTCTACTTAATTTCTGTTAATATATATATTGAGTTAAAAACTAGTTTCGAATCAAATCATATGAAAATCAAGTAATGGATTCATCAGATGAAAATCAAGTTATGAATTCATCAGATGATTTTAGTAAAGAATTTATTCGTGCTGATACAAATCATGATGGAATTATTGATGAAAGAGAATTTCGATCATTTCTTGGACCAGTAATACAACTTCAAAAGAATCAATCACCACAATTTACTAATGAAGATATTCAAGCATTTAATGTAAATTATTTAAATAAATTTAGAATTTATTTTTATCTTTATTTTTATTTTAGTCAACACCTGTAGTTCAAACATTAATTTATGAAATTGGTCTTGATGTTGCTGTTTGTGGTTTTATAGATGATCCAATAAAATTTGAAAGTTATGTTACAGGTAATGATAATACGAATAATCATTCATATGGTCTTGGACCAGATGTTGGAATTGGTGCACCTGATATTGCACCAAAATTAATTCAATATGATGCTGCTGGTGCCATGTTTAATTATGCTGATGTTAATCATGATATGAAAATTGATCCCACAGAATTTAATTATTTAATGCGTTCTATCTAACACTTTTTACTTTATCTTTAGAGATCACTCTATTATTATTCTTCTTCTTCTTCTTTCCTCTATGAGTATTTGTTGAAATTGTTATGTCACTTTATGTTTTACTTCTAATATTTGCGCATGAAAAAAGTAAAAGAAGATCTAATATAATCTTCTTTCTATGATATTAATTACAATTCAGATTCAAAGAATGTATTAGAATTTTCATGTTTTCTCTTCGTTTTGTCTTGTAATATGTCTACAATTGTTATATGTAAAAAATCATGTGTTTTTTTTTGTTGTCCCAATAAGAGAGCAATTAGGTAACTTCTACTCATTCATTAGAAAAGATTCTTCTTTTCCAATAATTTAACAGTTTTTTTTGTCTTAAATAAATTCTATTTGAAATATTTTTATAAAACTAATCAGACATATTTATAGATAATAAATAGTTAAAGATAATCTCATATCCTCTTCTATTAATTATATAGAAACTTTTTCACTTGTCTTATTTGATAATAGGCAATCTTTGTCGATCAACATTTACAAATTTAAATGAAAAAAAATATCTAAGAACAATGATATAACATTTAACAATATATATTTTCATCAATGATTTTTCAGTTATTCATATAAAAAATTATGTTTTAATAGACAATATTCAAAAGATATAAGTTAGATTTTCTATTAAGAGTGAAGTGCATTAACAGATAAAAATCTTATTAGTCGCTTGGAGATTTGTATCTGTATGATAGGGGAAATAAGATTGTTAATTGTCAACAATAGAAATTTCGTTTGTTAAATCAACAAAGATATAAAAGTTTGAAATTAAAATAAGAAATATTATTCGAATCTTCTATAAAAGTAAATAGATTTATTAAAATAATCTCAAGAAAAGAAGAAGATTTTTCTAATTAAAAATAAAATTAATTCTATGATTATATTCTCAATATTTTATAAGACTAGCTAACAACATTTGTCTTAATTATCATTAAAAACAGAAAACTAATTTTATATAGAATTAAATATAAAAAGAAAAAGTTTCTCATGAAATCTCTAGATCGATTAATTGTTAAAATGAACTTGCAATCAAAAATGATTCTTCTACTATTATTTGTTCATGTCACATTAACAATCAGTATTGATCATGATTAAACAGATGAATTTCAACGTTGTTTTTATGAATCGTTTATTAAAGGGTGAGCCAAAAGTCTTGGTAGTCCTCAGAAAAAATGATATATCTCCCTTGTAGTAAATTATAAATTGTTGAAACTTTGGTATCGTATGCTTCGAGAGTAGGTCAATATTATCCTAAAGTTTCAAGTCTTTATCTATTATTACAGGGGAGATATAGAAGTTTATATTTGAAGTTTAATTTCCTCCAAATCCTAAATTAATGATTTACGCATTCAAATTTGCGCTTTATAAATTCTAGGGCTTGAAATGTTCTTTTAGTAAAATAAAACATACCACGAGATGCAGCGTGAAAAGCTCTACAATCCACATAGTAAAGCATATTTTAATTAGGTAGTTGTTGCTCTTGCAAAATAAACTAAACTTCGTGTGATTAACTTTTGCTGAGCGAAAACCCTAATCGAAGAAAGTTTTATTCGTTTTTGAAAACAAAAATTACACAAGAGTAAGAAACTTTTCTTTGCAAGTTGTACAACTTTTGACGCTGCATCTTGTGGCATATTTTATTTCTGGTAAAAAGATATCTTACGTGAAAAATAGTTGAAAAAACAATGAATTTTTTTGTTGATACAGTGAAAACCGATGTTTTTAGGTAAAAAACAAAACTGACTCCAAAGAGTTTCGGGATCTTTTAGTACCAAAAACTATATAGTAGAATTATACTTTACTGTAGATTGTAGAGCTTTTCACGCTGCATCTCGTGGTATGTTTTATTTTACTAAAAGAACATTTCAAGCCCTAGAATTTATAAAGCGCAAATTTGAATGCGTAAATCATTAATTTAGGACATGGATGCAAATAAAACTTCAGATATAAACTTCTATATCTCCCCTGCAATAAAAGATAAAGACTTGAAACTTTAGGATAATATTGACCTACTCTCGAAGCATAAGATACCAAAGTTTCAACAATTTATAATTTACTACAAGGGAGATATATCATTTTTTCTGAGGACTACCAAGACTTTTGGCTCACCCTTTAGATACGATATATAACATTTTTTATTATTTAGTAATTTACCATCTTAATAATTTGACTTCTTTTTTTTCTAGATATAACCATCAGTGTTACTTTGATTAGAGGAAAGAAGTAATTGTGATAATATAGTAAGTGATAAGAATTAAAATGTAGAAGAGAATTTATCTTTTATGAATTGTGTATATGACATGGAATACAAATAAAAATACGTTTTTTCTTTTTAAACACACAATTTAAGAACTGTCAAAAACAGATTCAAGAAAAATATATCATTTATATGAATTAAAGTAAGTGACAAGAGAACAACACAGGATTTTTTATTTAGTAGATAGAATTAATGTTAATTTCATCGAAATTTGTCAAACTATTAATGATATCTATCATCTCTAGTAGAAACCTATAAACGCGAAAAAAGATGAATTTTATTTATTAAAAGATATATCATTAAACATTGATTCTATACATCGTATGAACCTAGAAGGAAAATTTCGTTTTTGGCAAATGTGCATAGCAATGAAAAAGTTTTCAAAAAAATGAATTTCTTTTCTTAAAATAGTATTCATTTTCTTTTAACTATGACATAGGAGTACCTATAATATTATTATCACTTGCATATCAATAACAATTATAGTTTTGACTTAAGCCCTATAGAAAAAGACTAACAGTTCATCATATGAGAATTTGAATAAACAGATCATTAAATCTTTTTTTCTTATTAGTCTAAGAAAGTACAAGTGTAATTGATATTATTAGAGAATATTCAACAGATCTTCTTCTAACCTTTATTCAATTTTTGTATTCAAATGAGTAAATTCTTTCTTTGTTTAATAAAACTAAATCATTAATCTTATCTAGATTATCTAACACGTGTATAATATCATATCAAAGTCAAATTAAAATATTCCTTTCTTTCTATATAGATATTAATACAAGAGATCATTCTTAGATTTTGTTAATAATAATACAAATATTCTCCTAAATCTACAATAGGCGATACTCAATTGTTGTATAAATGAGAAAGAAATTTACATAGACTAATAATATATACGAAAACTCTCTAATTAAACATAAAGATCATCGTAGCTTTCATCTCATAGATTTCGAGATATAATTATTTTCTTTGAAATCATAATTAAACAAATTTATACGAGCAGAAAGTACTTAATATGTCATTAATAAAGAATAGTAACCTTAATTGGTCTTTATTATAGACTAGAGTTTTTTTTCCATAATGATGCTCTAAAATAGTACAAGCATGTGATTTATTGTCGAGAAAAATAATCTCTTTATATTTTTTCATCATAAAGTATTCCATTTTCTTGAGATATATAAATGACTTGAAATAAAATAGATTTAAATATCAATAAAGTTTAGATAAAGAAAAAACATTGAAACTAAATAATTGTTTCTATTCAAGATATTTCATTATTTGATTTTTGGTCAATATTGACAAAAAACCAACTGATTTTTATTCATAAGAGATAATTAAACTATTACGATTTCATAATATTTTAAATAGAATGACCTTAACTCCTACGTATAACATTTTCTTTATGAATCTTTCTATTGTTTATTGAAATATTTTAATTATTCTTTAGAAGCATTTCCTCATTTTATTAATTGAATTCAATCCAAACTTCTATTATGATTAATGATCAAACAAAAATCAATGGTTTTATACTTAATTCGGTTTCTCTTGGATTTAATATATTTGCATGTTTGATATCATGTATAATTTTTTTTCTTATTCTATATCATCTTTATTATAATCATGTAAAACGTGAAGATAAAATAAGCGTTGTTCTTTGTGGTCATATCTATTTGGAAATTTTAATCTATTCATTAACGTTATCATCAATGAATATTCGATCAATGTTGGGTCATTTATATAATCAATCTTTTAATTCATCATCGTGTATTTTTTCAGGATATTTGGCTATTATATTACTTGGTATGTTATACTTGAATTTTCTAAATCAGGTAATTCGAAATAAAAGAAATTAAAAAAAATGATAATCTTTTCTAAATAATTCTAGGCATTCTATCGTCTTATTCGAATTGTTTATTCTCAAAATCGATGGTTTCAATCTTTAAAATTATATGTAATTTTACCAATGATAGAAATAATAATGTTAACATGTATTCTTCTACCTTTGAATGGTGTAACATATTTACCAAATGATCATTTTTGTTATCCAACATTGACAAATATTCCTAGTATTCTTTCAACAGCATTTGTTGTTTATATAGGTCCATTTTGTTGTATAACATTTATTTATATGCATATAACAAGATTTATTCATCAACAAGGAAATATTCAAACATTAGTAATTAAACAACGACAATCTCGAGATTTACTTATTCTTCGACGTATTTTAATAATAGTTAATTTATTACTTATTCTTGGAATACCTGGAATGTCTCTTATAATTATGTTTATAATAACAGGTGAAGAGAATCCATTACTTGCTCGAATTGTATTGTTTCCAGTTAGCATATCTCAAATGGGATTGAGTGTAGCATTACTTTTTTCAATTCCACAATTGAAAAATATTGTTTTAAACTTACGACCAACAAACACAGTGATGCCTGTCAATCAAACCGTGCGAGGTACAGTACATATAAAAACGATTACTGGTACTCAATAGTGAAATCAATCTTATGAATATATTCTTATATATTTATTAAATGCGAATTCCTTTAACTTTTTTAAGATCTTTTATTTTTATGTGAGTATATAAGAGAAATTATTCTTGTTTATTTATGACTATAAAATTCCTATTGATTATTATTGTTGTACGTATGATTCACAGTGAAATCAATATGTTGTCATACTCAGTTTTGTATTGTTTATTTTCGTTTATTAATGTGTAAAAATAAATCAAGTTCCAGTATTGATTAAACTATGTTATTAAATTTCTAAGTTACAATAACACAATAATAAAAAGCATAGAATAATGATTATGTTAAATGTTAAATGTTTTATTCTAAAAAAATGTAAGTTTGTATACTTTTGAATATTATTAATAAAAGATGCATAAGTGATAATTACTCATTTTTGAAATTTATTTCATGGAATTAAAAAACTGAAAGATAAATCGATAAGATTTTCTATCGTGAAATAGAAATTGAGATGAAAATCTGAATTGACCTTCTCTGCTATCTTCGTTTTCATAGTCATTGTAAAAATGCATAAATTCACAACATAAAATGTTTTATCGTATTTTTCAGTTTTAGTTTGAGAGGAATTGCGCTGAAAACGTTGTTTCTTAATATGTATGAATTAAACATTTACGTGACTGTATATTATTTTATTGAATTCTCATATAATATATTCAATATTTTGTTTAACTTTACTCAAAAACTAATTAACATGAGACTAGCAAAAGAAATGTTTTGAATGTATTTATGTAAAGGTAGATTTAAACGATTCCATCTTATAGAATCATCTATAAATACCCCTGATAAAAATATGTGACCTATCCTCGAATTTAGATTTGCGAGAAAAAAATATAGCTTTTTTTAGTCGTGATCCTATTCCACCTGTGTCTAGATAAGAAAGTTTTTTTATTTTCTTCTTTAAAAGTTCACTGAGGTTATAATTTCATTCTTATTTATCAATAATGAACTATAATAGTATAATCAACATTTGCACTAATATTGACAGCTCGTGAAGTGATGCTGAAGTTATCTAACCAAATAGTCAATTGAAATGTTGAATTTAGTTCATAATGAAATATGAAATCATTGGAAAAACTATACACTCGTGTATCTTGTGTGGAATAATTTGATATAATTTGATCATTGAATAAACAACCATATAAATATTTAGTTTTTCATCTAATATACTTCTATCTAAACTTCATTGGTATGTATTTATTATTGAATTAACATTACAAAATTTCTTAGTCGTAGCTAATACTCAATGAGATTTTTCTAGAGAAACATTAGATTATATCAGTTCTTACTGATTAACTATGATATCATATAAGTTTCATCAAAATTTAAATTTTCGAACATATTCTAAGAAAAAAATTTCTCTTGCTTACACGTATGTTTATTCTACAAAAAACAATTAAATATTCTTCATTTCCTTTGACGACACCATTTGCCTTTCATATTATTCTTCATATTCAATCATTCATGACTATTCTCTTTCTCTTTCTTTTTATAATATAACACGCTTGACATTATGCAAAACATGTGATTGCATCAATCTATCTTCGCAACTGCTATACAAATCAGGTAGAAGTTGAAAGGTGAAAATATATGGAAGGTATTTTTTTACTAACAAACAAATTATTTTTGTGATAAAATTCGTAACATATAATCTAATTGATATTATTCTTATAAGATTCAGAAAAATATTTGAAATTAAGTCAACAAAAATAATTCTATTAGAAAATCTATATCATCATCGATTTTCTAATTTGAAATTAACAATAAAAAATTCTTTATCAAATTTGATTGTAATAGTACATACAAATGAATATCATTCGTTTTATATAACTTAAACAAATCTATTATTCTATAAAATATTATTATTAAATAAATCAAAGGTAGACGAATAAAAAAACATTTTATTGATTTGATTTTTCTAGATATGACATAATTCTATTACTCATTATATTCTGAATAAAAGAATATTTAAAAATGTATTTTCTTATGTAAAAATAACACGTTGATTATTTTTTTCTTTTTTATCTGTTAGATCATGCTAGAATACATCCCCTACGAGAATCCTTTTTTTTTTATTATATATACAAATAATTATTTATAAAGTGAACCAATTTTAAAGAGTTTTTGGGGTCATTCAACTTATGATCCGTATCCATTGCTTAAAAAGTAACTCTGGTAGTCGATGCATTTTAACATACTCTTTCAAATAAAAGTATATAAAATCTAGAGAATGCACTATTTTACTGAGTATCTCAGGTCATTGAAGTTGTTCTAGATTATTTTTGACCTATTATATACAAGATTCGGTTAAAATATCGAAAACATTTTCTTCGTCGTGTATCTTTTTCTTTCTTTTCTTTTCGTTTTTCCTAGTGATACATTCATGTGTTTTTTTTTCATTTCTTTTTTTTTACTACGTATTTTGATATTTTATCTGAAGATATATTTTCTAATTAGTATAAAACGTTTTTTTCTTTCTTTTTCATGTGTATGAGCAGACATCTAAAACGAAGAGGTCAATTGCTACGGTCAGTAACTTCATATAATGTGTATATACTTTTTTCTTTATAGATGATATCATACCGATGTCTACTTTGTCGTTACATTTAATATCTCTTTCTTTTTACCTCTATGGATATATCTATGTCTGCATTTTTTTTACAATGTGATGAGGAGTATATGTAGAACAGATGACCTATGACATATTTTCTAGACGATACGTTAAGATCTAGTTTAAGTTTTGTATATGTTTTTTTGTGTAAAAAGCAATAAAATAAATACGATCAGTCGACCAATATGAAATCGAGATAGGATTAATCGGATTCCTCATGTAACTATTCTATTTAATCTCGATCGATGAGTTTTAAAATACTTTTTCTGATAGTCTACTTCTCTTTTTATTCTTAGCAAGTATTATTCGAATATTTTTCGTTTATTTTTCAGTATATCTATTTAATAGTAAATGAGAAAAAATAATATCTACTTGATAAATCATATTTTTTTTTAAAGAAACGTTTCGTTAGTTAGTTTTGATTTGTTCAGTTAAAGTTAGAATGAAAATTGTATAGATTTCGAATTAATCTCATTTCTCTGAACTCGTGTAACTTGATTTTATTAGAAAGTACTTACATTTCAATACATTATTATTGTAACTGTTCGATCACTTTAACTAAAAAAATGAAAACCTCAAATAGAGTTCGACTTGTTAAGAGAAGAAAAAAGGAAAATAATGATTTTTATTTCTTAATGTAATTGCGAAAATCGTAAGGATTGACATTATAGGTTAAACATGCGTAGGATAAGAAACAAAAAAAGTAGGACATAAAAATACGTTTAGTGGAGCATGACGATTAAAAATCGGTGATTACTTTAGAAAAATAAAAATGATTGAACATTAAATCTAATCATATAGAATGTTTAATTATAGGAAGTTTAGTAATGAATAGAATGGATCGTATTATATATTCATGAAAAAACATTTTGATTTACATATTTTTAGATCATTTTGGGAACGATAAATATTTCAGAAGTTTATAGGAAAATGAAATGTTTTATTTTGAAATTATTATCAAAAATGATTTTCTTCGTTTGATCATTTTGTATATTCGATCAATAACAAACAGTATTGATTTGCAATTTTTTAATTAAGTTAAACATGGTATTCATATGAGGGTTATGCATCACTAATCAATAGAGAGAAAAATATAGGTAAAAACACATATTGGCTTCGTTGTGCTTGTGTTATTTACATTTTCTTGTATTAAAAGTCGATTTATTTATCTGTTCTTTTTCATTTGTGAGTAGCTTTGAATATTATTAACGCTAAGTACTTCTTTCATTATTTTATTTATTCTATATAATAGCTAATTAATATCTTTTCACACTGCTCCCACAAAGAAATCAAAAACCACTAGATGATATTTTAAAAGAAAAATTTATTTGTACAAAAATCGGTGTTCATCTAAATAGCAGTATAGTGATGATGATTTATAGTCTAGAATGTCCTTTGACAAATGTTTATGATATTTCATTCTTATAATAATATCTTTTAATTCAAACGTTGTTTGTAAATATTCTTGGTGATAAGGTTCTTCAGAGGTTGAAGGTTACGGACTTCATAAACAATCAAAAATCAATAAAATAAAAATATATTTAAATAAAGTTCTTATTGTTCTATAACACGTTAGTAATAATAATGTAAAAGTATGTAAATAGAAATAAATATCTAAATAAAATGCTTGCTGTTTCATAACATATTAATACTAATAAGCTAAAAAATATTTAAAAAAATTAAACAAAATACTCTCTCTTCTAATATTATCGATTTCCCATAGATGTCGACCTTTAGTCTTGTCCTTGTACATATAACATAAATATTGTTAATACCTCCTCAACAATATTTTCGTATAACGAAGTGCGCACTCAACTGAATTCTAGAATTTTAGCATAAATATATAGGAAATGATTTGATATTGATACTCATAATCATTAAAGTGTTAAATATAAAACTAAACATTTCTAAACAAAAACTTTTGCCTTCAATACTAACAATCAATTACTTATCATTACACAGCATATATACAATTTGTTGACGTGAAAGAAAAACTCTAAAATTATTTTGTAATTTATTGTTTTCAGTATTCTTTCAGATGCCACGATCAGCTCTTATAACCGGCTCTACAGGCTATATTGGTATTCAAGTATTTTCTAATTTGCTACGTCAGAAGACTATTGATCGAATAATCTGTGTAAGCAGACATAACGATCAGGAAGCGTTTTGGTCATCTATTCAATCTCAAGCAAAGAAATTCCAAGTTTCTCTAAATATTTCCGAAGCTAAAGAAAAAGTTGAAGTCGTCCGTATTGATCTTGACAAGAATCACGGTCTAATATTACCGGCTCTTGAGAAATATAAACAATCGGTTAGTACAGTACATCATTTGGCATGTGATTCAACGTACGGACATCCATTTGAACATTTTGAGCCGTGGATAAATTGTACAAAAGCATTAATACAATATTGTATGGATCCCAAGTATCCTAAGCAAATGTATGCTACTGGAAGTTATGGACATCATCTTATTGACAATCCACACGTTGATCTTAAAGAAGATTTTTATTTTATTAATGGTTATTTTCAATACAAGAGGTGGTTAAATAATTATATGCAAGAAAAAATGGATGAAGGTTTGAATGGAATACTTTTTGAACCTGCCTATATAATTGGTCCAATTGATCCAGGTCAAGATTATATTCTCTGGCGTATCGCTCGTATGTTTGTAGCACTGGGATATGCCTTCAAGTATCCAATGGGTGTCACACCCGTTGAAATGATGATAGATAATTATATGTTAACAGTCAACCATCCTGATACAGGTCTAAAAGTTATGTCTCCCGGTATACCGAAACCTATTTATGTACATGAAGCAATACAAAAACTAGTGCCAGATTTGAAGATAATTGATTATCAAGAATTCAGAAATATCATAAAACAAGTTATGCCCAAACGATTAAAATATTTTGGACCAAATGTTCCACTTGTTGTTGAGACAACAAAAGGAACTGCAATATTTCATCCTCTGTATGATAATACAAGATTCGAAAAAGGAGATCTAACTGATTATCTTCTTAATTGTGCAGGCTTAAAAGAAGCTGTCAAGTTGGGACTGGAGGATAGACAAAAGCTATTCAAGATGAGATCGCAAGCGGCCAATTAAAATACTTTGATCACTCTTTTAGTTTCAAGCATCTACCAGTTTATTTAATATCTTTTTTTTTAAGTTTTAGCTTTCTGTAAACCTGTTGTATTTAGTAATAAATTCATTAATAATATCATATTAGAACAATTTCTACTTCAGAGTCATGTCAATGCTTATTGATAATCGATTGTCTCCATAAATTTAGCCTTCTATGTCTTATTGACTATTTTATTTCTTTGCTCATTATTTTTTGTTACATTAAAAGAACAATAATCTATGTCTTAATGATCATTGGAATGAAACAAAATTTTATATTTTTGATTGATGAATTTGTTTAGATTTATAGATAATATTTTCATGTAATTTTTCTATAAATTAACTCGCTCGGAGACATTCGTCACGTAACGAGCAAGAGAAATGATTTCGTGTAGATGTTTCCATCGAGTTGCCTACGTATTTTTTGTTGACTTGAAAGAAAGACAAACAATAAATAACTAAGATTTTTTTCCATTTCTAATCTTTACACCCATTTAGACACTTGTATTTTTTTTCTAAATTCAGTATAATCAAGATTAGTGTTATTAGTTAATGAATTATTTAAGTATCTATTTATCATCAAGTGATACTATCAGATCGCTAAATGGGGATAATTAATGTTTGAATTGACTGATATATCAGCAAAGAAAAACCATGAAACAGATGGAGGCAGACTGAACCTATATGTTTTATAAGTCTATTTAAATCTTTATTTTAAGTAGATGTTTTAATAACAAATATTCGTTTCAGGATTTATTTAAAGGTAATTCGAATTTTGGAAAATATTCATAATCAATATAAAGAATTTGATCTAGCCATATTTGTGTCACATGTTATGGATGCGAATATTTAGATCGGTGTTTACTCATACCGGTTTAGATAGGTATTACACAAGTTTCGCAATGAGTCATAAAATTAAAGAGACATTTCTGTAATAGAATACAATGTATTTTTATTTGTTTTTTGTTATTGAAATTTTTTGTAAAGAAAACAAAGTTGAATTAATATTTCTACTTTTAATATAAGAATAGAAAATGTTAGAGCATAATTTCCTCTTCAATCTTATTATCATCTTGTTTCTCAATTGATTGTTTAGTCATTTTCTAGAATAAAATATAAAAAATTGATGTTAATTATAAGAGAGACAAACTTTTTTCGATGATAAACATGGAAAAATGTCGTTTGTTGATACTAATAATAATGGATCAATTATTTTCGTATCTTTCGAATCTAAATTAAAAATAAATTTTGTTATTTTCTTATTTCAAATCAATAATTGTTTTTACCAAGAATAAAACTAAAGATCATTCCAAGAATAATAGTTGTCATAGTACCAATAAATATAAACCAAAGTGGTGATATCGAAAACAACGATACTAAGAAATTTGATCTAAACAAAATTTTCAATTTATTTTTCTTAAAATATTTTTTACTTTGCATATGTTGTTATTGTTTTAGTAGTTACATTTGTTGATATTAAACATCCAGCAATAGAAATTGGTAATCGTCCACCTTGTTTATTTGCTGGTTTTGTAGTAAATATTGAACCAAAAAGCATAAAAAGTTGAAAGATTAAACAAAGAAAAAAAGCAACAAATACACTCTAAATATATTTAAAAAAGTTTGGCTTTGTTTTTTGAAGAATATCAATTTAATATTTACTCGACTTTTGACTCGTGATGAAAATAATCCAAGAAAATAAATACCCAAAATAGGAGCAGCAAATACACCAAAAATTTGAATTATTAACTAAATAAATAACACAAAATTTAATCATTAATTATGCAAAATCATCCAAATACTAACAGTAATGATATTACTTTTCATAAAAGATACAAGAAAGGACATTATTACTGATAAACAACCAATACATACCGCTAGATAATTAATAAAAAAAATAATTTGAGAAAAAAACAAAACAAATTTTACATAAAATTTTTGAAAAAGTAACTTGTTCTTCATTTGACATTGAATGTTTTTTTGTTAATGGTTTATAAATATCTTCAAGAATAACTGTTGCCATACTATTAACTCCACTTGAAAATGTACTTAATGTTGCACTTAACATACATGCAATAAAAACACCTGTAAATCCTGGAATTCTTCCTAATGTTTCAATTACAAATAATGGATACATCTACATTAGAAATCATATTATCATTAGTTTCTTTCTCTTTCTCTTTTTCTTTTACTTGATCTGATCGAGAAATAATTTTAGCTTGAAGAGGATCACATTGACTATATTTATTATAGAGTAAACATCCAACACATAAACATAATATATGCATAAATACTAACATAACATAATTTGTCCATGCAACTCTTTTTAAAAAATAAGAAAATTTTATTTATTTATTTATTTTAGAAATACTTCTGTGCAGATTTTGTATCTTTAACACACATATATCTTTGTGCTTGAGTTTGAATACAAGCATATTGAGCTGTACTTGAAAATATTACACCAATAAATATACTCCACATTGTATAACGAATTGATGGATCAAAATCAACACTAAAAGAACATTTTCAAAAAATTCTTTTTTTTTTTCAATTTATTGACATACACAGAAAATTGTAATCGATTACCAGCTTTTAAACTTTCATATACTTTAAATATTCCACCTGCATCAATGACACCTTTGACAAAAATAAATTCAAATAATCTTTGTTAAAAACAATGAATATATATATACCAATTATGATTGATAAAATCAAACCAATAAACATAATTGATGCTTGTATAACATCAGTCCAAATAACTGCTTTCATTCCTCCCTTAAATATTTTTTATAATTATTATTTCTTAATTGAAAATTGTCTTACAATACTTGTATAAATTGTACAAATTATTCCACATAATCCAACTGCAATCCAAATATTTAATCCTGTTACTTGACTTAAAGCTAAACTTGGGCCATATAAAATAACTGCCATTGAAAGAATCTTAACAAATTCAATTTATAATCAAGAATAAAAAAAGAAAGTAAATTGAATATCTACTTACAGTAACTAAAACAAAACTACATGTTACTAAAATACGAATTGTTAACGAAAAACGTTGTTCAAGATACTATATGAATCATTTAAAATAGAATATTAATAAGCAAAATATTTTGTACATACAGCATAAATACTTGCACTACCAATATAATGATATTTTGGGATAAAAAAATTTACTGTTAAATATGTTCCAATAAACCATGGAAAGACTTTTTTTTAAATAATAAAATATTTAAATATTCTTTTCTTTTCTTTTAAATAATAATAACATACTACAGTAAATAAGCATTGTTCCATAATAATAAAATTCAACAGGCATTCCAAGTAATGATGCAGCAGATTTTAAAGTTGCTAATAAACTCATTGCTGTTGGAATTATCTAAACAAATATATACAATTAATAAATTGACTTTTTTTTCAAATTATATTTAATAACTTTCATTCGACCATCAGCAATAAGAAATTGTTTAGATGAAATTTGTTTTGATCGACTATAACCTTGATAAATTCCAGTTCCACATGATAAAACTAATATTATTTAAATTAAATTATTTATCTTTTCAAAAGAAAATTACCCAAAAGTAAAATTAAAACAATATAATCAATTAAACCAAGATACATTTCAAACTATTATTGTCCTTCAATGTTAGAAAAGATAAGATTTATTTCTTCATATGTGGTCATATCATAAAGAAATAAAGAATGAGAAAAAACGACAGATGAATCAAATTTTCATATCAAGATAAATATTCATTACAATTACATTTTACTTTCCAGTCAAATTAGCCACAAATACCATTTTATATATTCTTCTACATAGATTTTTTAGAATAAATTTTCGATTTTTTTTTCAAAATATTCTATACTAATTTATAGAAATTATTTTATGAAAAATATAAAATAAAAATAAATTTATCTTGTTTTTTTTTATCCTACGACAATTAAAAGATTAACTTCACTGCAATCATATATATGTCTAGAAAAATACAATTTTATATCATTGTTAATCAGTTTGTGAAATTGTAGATTTTTCAAGTATTCGTTGTTGATTTCGAGATCGTTGAAGGTTAGTTCTAAAACCATTTAAACCTAATCGACTTAAATAAATTTCACGTTGACGTTGTAATGTTGTTGTTACAGGATGATAATCTTTTGGACGATCTTTTTTTATATCAATTGGTGGCTCAGCACCTAAACTATTTTCTCCTAATAGATCAGGTTTACCAAGAAAATTCTTTGTAAGAGCATCAAGTATATCAACACAATGCATACGATCATTTTCACATATTGGTAAATTCATAACAACAAATAATAATTTATTTGGTTTTGAAACACGTAATGGCGCTTCTAAACCATCAACAAAATCTGATAATTGATCATATCGAATAAATTGCGAACCAGATGGATCGAAAACTTGCCATTTTTCATAATACATATCATAATCATCATCAGTTAAACCCTTTTAGTTAAAAAATAAAATATAAATTTAAAAATTCATTTATTTATTTACTTGTTCAACATCTTCTTGTGCTTGAGAAAAATTTTCTAATATAACTGCAATATACATATTGATCTAAATTAAATTCGAAAGAATTGAAAAAATAATAAAATATCTTGTTAATTCTTACGACAACAAGAGAAGTAATTATTACAAAAGTAACAAGAAATGGTGTTGCAATAGCAAAATTACCACAATCTCCATTATTTGATGGTGATTTAATAGTTGGATCACAATCTGGTTGTTGATCATTTGTTAATGCTTGAAATACTCCAGACCAACCAGCAGTAGTACACATTTGAAAAAGTACAATCATTGAATTAGGAAATGTTTCGAAATTAAATAAATCTGTTATACCAGCTGATTTTCTTACATAACCAAAAAATGACATTCCAAAAATTGAATAAATAAACATTATTAGAAATAGAAGAAGACCAATATTAAATAAAGCTGGCATTGAAACTGTTAAAGAAAATAATAATGTTCGAATACCTTTTGCTCCTTTTACAAGACGTAAAATTCTTCCAACACGTGCAACACGAAAAACACGTAATAATGTTGGATTAACAACAAATTGGGTCATGATTTCTCCTAATGTTTGTTCTAAAAAATATTTTATTATTTTTAGAAATATTTTTTGAGAAAAAAAAAGATTTACCAAGAATTGATGCAGTTACAATAATAAAATCAAATACATTCCATGGAATAGTAAAATATTTTAAATTTAATGCTATTAATTTCATTAAACATTCAATTGTAAATCTAAATTTATATCAACATATTATTTTCATATACTAAAACTAACAAGTAATGCTCGTCCGAGGACTCGCTTAGCTCTTTCTCGTAGAAATTCATTTTCGCCACGTTTACTGGAAAAACAAATAAAAAACGTGAAAAATTTATTTTCGATGTTTTTTTGACCTGTGAACTCTTATCTTCACACGGTCACTGAAAAGTCCTCAGATTCGAATTCTCCGCCTCGAAAAACCTCTAGAAATGTCTTTTCCAGAAAATTGATTTTCAATGTTTTTTTGACCTTCCACCCACACCCACCCGTAACCGTGGTCACCCAACAGACGTCAGATTCGAACTCCCCGCATCGAAAAATCTCTAGAAATGTCTTTTCCAGAAAATTGATTTTCAATGTTTTTTTGACCCTGCGGACACACAAGCAAACAATTTATGTCTACTGGACTCTTCTCTACGAGAAAGAGAATAAGATTAGTTAACTTACAATATAACAAAAGAATGATTAAAATATCCAAGAATGCGAGTAAAAGTTTGACTTTGATTATAATGTTCAAGACACATAGAAACCATATTAAGAAAAATACAAATCATTATAAAGATATCAAATTTTTGATTTGTTGTTACATCAAATAGAAATCGGCCAAAAGCAAACTAAAATAATATATAAAAATCTATATTCATTTATTTAAAAGAAACATTACTCTTGGTCTTGGTAATGCTTTTGTTGGTTTTTTATTACCCAATTTTTTCATAGCATTATAATATTTTTTTTGATCTTCTGTCATAAACATTTCAATGGCACCACCTTGTAACTAAAAAATATTTAAAAGAAGAAAATTAGATTTTATTAAATTTATAATAAAACTTAATATTTTTTTTTGTTGATTAAAATTATCAATAACAACACCAATAAATAAATTTAGAGTAAAAAATGAACCAAATATTATAAATAAAACAAAATAAATCAGAACATAAATATTTGTTTCATATTCAGGTTGAATATCTATCTGAAATATTCAATCAAAAAACAAATATAAATATGAAAAAAGAAAATCTTTTTTATACTTCTTTGGCATCAGTTGCATCAGCCATTATTTCAGTCCAACCTTTGAAAGTTGCCTATTGAAATCAAATAAAATTCTGTCTGTAATTGTATTTTATCAACTTACAACTTGAAATAAAGCTAAATAACCAATAAGAACATTATCAAAATTAATTCTTGAATTTTCCCATGTAAAATTTTTATTTAAACAATCAATTTTATTTGTTATATTTTCCGTTAAATTAACACGTTGATGTGTATTAAAATAAACACATTTAAAAAATTTTCCACCAAATAATTGTACACCCATTATTGAAAATATTAACCAAAATATAAGACAAACAAGTAAAACATTAAATATTGCTGGAATTGCACCAAATAATGCATCAACAACAATCTATTTTAAAGATAAATAATAACAAGGAACGCTCGTTCGAGGACTCGCTTAGCTCTTTCTCGTAGAAATCCATTTTCTTCACATTTAGTAGAAAAACAAATAAAAAACGTGAAAAATTGATTTTCAATGTTTTTTTGACCTCTCACTCACCTCATCATGGTCACCCAAAAGATCTCAGATTCGAAGTCCTCGCATTGAAACACCTCTAGAAATGTCTTTTTCGAAAAATTGATTTTCGATGTTTTTTTGACCCTGCGGACACACAAGCAAACAAACAGTTTATGTCTACTGGACTCCTCTACGAGAAAGCGAATAAAATAAAATAAATTCTTTTTCTTTACTTTAATTGCTTCAAATCTTGATAATATTCTTAATGGACGTAAAGCTCTTAATGTTCTCATTGATTTAAATGCAGGAATATTTGCTATATCAAACCAATCAAGAAGATTTCCAAAAATACTTATAAAAACAATAAAAAAATCTAATCGATTCCAACCAGTTTTAAAATAATCTCGTATTCCATATGCAAACCATTTTATTATTAATTCAAATGTAAAGACTATTGTAAAGATCTTATCAAATATTAATAAAACTTTCGAAAATAATGGATCTTCTCGTGTATGAATATCTTCTAAAGCCTTGAAAATATAAAATATTAAATTAGAAATAATATTTTTCTTTCTTTAACTTACTAAAGTTGTACAACTAATTAATATCATAAAAATAATAAATAATTCAAAATAACGATGTTCAACAAGACAATAAGATAAATGACGAATATATAACCATTGTTTTACAATTAATTTTGGAATACATTTATTACAATAAGAAAATTGTTTTGATATTATTATTGGACAACAATCTGATGGAACATTAACAATTTCATGTGTTGGACGAGATGTTTCACAATTATTATTATTTAATTGTTCCATTTCAATATCTTCTTGTCTTATTGATAGATCAGTAGTTAAATCATTCAATTCTTCTAATTTATATGATGTTAATAAAGGAAGATTACCAGCTAAATCTTGTCTACCACAAAGAGACTAAACAATAAACAAAAATGAAATAAAAAAAGCAAAAGTAGGAAGAATTTAACAAACATTATCATCGATTTCATTGATAGTATTAATCTTTTGCTCTCGTTGTTTTTTTCGATGAAATGAATGAGAAAGAAATTGTTTAATAAAATGATAAAATCGTTGAATTCTCTCAATTGCTTCAGCAATTTTATTTTCATCATCATCTTTGTCATTTAACGCATTTGAACCAAATGATGCAAGTAAAAGAGCCAAAAATAAATTTAAAATCTAATTATAAAATAAATATCTATTTAGATTGTAAATTCGAACTTACGACAAGATTTCCAATGAAATAAGTAAATAGAAAAAATGGAATACATGGCCATCCAGCACATTCAAGACATATCCACATTGATTCAATCCATTCACCACATAATACACGAAATACAATCATAAATGCATGAAAAAAATCATAAAAATGCCATCGTGGTAAATCTTTACCAAATTTATCCAAATATTTTTGACCAAATAACTAAAAGGAATTTAAGAAGAGATAAATTCATTAGAATAAAAGTTGAATTAACCTGCATTCCCATAACAGCAAAAATAAATACGATTATACTAAGAACTAATGTTATATTTGCTAAAGCTCCTAATGATCTTCCAATAATTGTCATAAGACGATTTAATGTTTGCCAAGATTTTGCCAATTTAAATACACGTAACTTAAGAGAGAGAGAAAGAATATTTTAATTTTTAAAAGAATAAAATTAATAAACTTACTAATCGAAATGAACGTAATACACTTAAACCTTTTATACCTGAAAGACCTAATTCAATAAGACTAACTGTAACAATTAATAAATCAAATGAATTCCAAGGATTTTTTAAAAATTTTATTGGTGTTAATGCAATGATTTTTAATACTGATTCACATGTAAATATACTTGTAAAAATATAATTGCTTGTTATTAATATACGAGTCATTTTCTCACTTTGACCAGGATGATCAACTGCCATACATAATGTATTTAATATTATACATATTGTAATAAATAAATCAACAAATGCATCCAATATGATAAAACTAACAACATTCTAAAAAACAAATATTTTATATAATCTTAATAATTAGATTTAAATAACAATATTAAATTAACAAATACGAGAAAAAAGACAAGATTTCTGTAACAATAAGATTTTGTTTTCAAGACATCTATGTCATATACTTCGAGTATAAACAATAAAGTAAAACATTAGAAATTGATAAAACTTACTTGAAATTTTTTAAATATCTCTGATTGACAAGTCCATTCGCAACAATACATTTTTAGAGTTTTAGTTAATCTTTGACCAAATGTATTTGTTGTATTCATATCTAAAATCATAAAAGATTAACAAATATTTTCTAATATTAAAAATATGACCCACTTTTTGATTGAATACTTGTTCTATGTAATTGTTGAGAAGATAATATTTCAGTCATCAAAGCAGGTTCGACATGATATAACTTTAAGATAAATTAAAAAAATCGAATAAAAATCTATTGAATTTTTACTGTTAAATTTGAATTTTGTTGAGATAAATAAGAAGATTTGTTTATTTCTTCATTTGTTAAAATTAAATTTACATTCTCGTTGCCACTTTGAAATATTAATGATGATAATTCCATTGAATTTAATTGAATTTTCTAAAAGATTTTACTTTTCATTTGAAAAGATAAATGTTTAAATAATTTACATTTTCATTTTCATTTTGAATATCTAAACATATTTGATCTTGTTCATTTTTTAATTGAAGTTCATCTTCAGTTTTATGTTTTTCATTTTCTTCATTTTCAGCTTCATCTTTACTTTGTTGATCAAGATAAGATCGAGAAACAATAGCTAAGATTAAATTTACTAAATAAAATGATCCAAAAAATATAACAGAAAGAAAATAGAAAAAATGATAACGGCCAGCTGCTGATAAAACCTAAACAAACATTTCATTTCATTTCATTTATACAAATTCAAATTTATTCATTTACTATTTGATAAAGATTTTCCCAATAATCTTGTGTCATTAATCGAAAACATGAAAGCATTGCCCAACCATAATTATCAAAACTACAAAAGGAAATATTTTTGTAGAAAAAGAAATTCAAATTCAAATCTTACCTTGTATATCCAAAATCTGGACTAAAACAATAAAATGAATTTAATTTAATATTAAAAAACAAGTAACGCTCCTCCGAGGACTCGCTCAGCTCTTTCTCGTAAAAATGCATTTTCTTCACATTTACCGTAAAAACAAATAAAAACCGTGAAAAATCGATTTTCGATGTTTTTTTGACCTTGCGGACATACAAGCAAGCAGACAATTTATGTTTACTGGACTGTTCTCTACGAGAAAGAGAATAAAAAAAATCTTACCTTTCACCTCGATCTTTCCAGCAAACATAACCATTCGGACATTTTGTACTTCCACTTGCATTACCACAAAGTAAATATATATCATCTTTTTCATACCAATAAGCTAAACAAATTATTTTTAATCAAACTTTTCTTCATTAAATTTTCTCAATCTATAATTAGGATAATAAATGATATTATCATTTAATAACTAGAGACTATCTATTTTATTCTATGTCTATTTCATTCGAATATACTTTTTCAAATAAATATATAGATAATTTTGAATGAAACTAATGAATATGTGAACATACTTTGATTATCCATTTGTTTTAAATAGAAATTATATGAGATATTAAATGAAATATTTGACGACAAATTCGAATTATTTATAAAAGATTCATAAGTAGGCACACATTTTTGTCGAAGAACACCCATATAAAGTTGGATTCCAATCTATAAGAATAAGAAAAAGAGTTTATTGAATATTTTTTCTTGAAAATGTTTAACCAAAGCAAATATGGAAAGAATAAAAGCTGATAAAATAGCAACATCTCTTAAAGACATAAATGATTGGATTAATGAACTAACAATTGTTTTTAAACCTTGAAAAATGAATGAATGAATTATTTAAAAATATGAAATAATTTAACCAGGTACAACTGCAACAGTTTTTAATGCTCTTAATACACGAAATGTTCTTAGTACAGCAACTTTTCCCAAATTAACAAAAAATGCAACATAACTAAAATAAATAAAATATAACAATATTTTTCTATTTAAATAAATTCATACGCAATTGTAATTACAGTAAAATCCAACCAATTCCATGGATCACGTAAAAATGTATATTTTTCAAGAATAAATCCTCGTGCAAGACATTTAGTTAATGCTTCAAATGTATAAATTCCTGTAAATACATATCTATAAACATAAGAATTCTTATTGAGAAGAAATGCAAATTATCTTGACATACTCAACTGTTTCTGGTACATTTTTAAATGTCATAAATATACAATTAGTTATAATTGTAAGCATAACTAATGTAGTAAAAATAGAATGTGTTAATATATGTATAGCTAAACGTCGAATTAAATTAAATGGAGATAATAGAAAACAAGCTGATGTTGAACTAAATCGAAATATTGTATGATTTTTATTAATAACAACAAATACCTACAACGATTTTAATAAATAATTAAAAAAAGATTTGAAGAAAATTTTACATACATTTTCCGTTCGATAATAATTATCGATTTCTTCAATTGGTTTTCCAATAAGTTCTTGTGGAAATTTATGTTTTAAAATTCTTGGTAATTCTTGTCCAACAGCCAAATCTTTATTAGGTATTCGTTTTTGTTCAATTTGTTCATCTTTTGATAATTTATTTCTTCGATGACGTTGAACATTATTATCTTTATGTATTGATTGTTCTTCTAATTGTTGACAAGCAACACGTTCAGCTTCTTCTTCTCGATAATGTTTTATACGTTCAATTGATTCATGTGTAAATTCTCGGAAGATAATCGAATCATAATCCATCGTGACTATTAGAAATTACATCTCTGCACACATATTTTCTACAAAATATAATTAAAGAAAAACTTTTTCTTTTACTTAAACATAAATCTATATAGAAAAGTCTATTCCTTTTTTGTTGTATGTTTTGACACTAATGAAAAGAAGATTATAATCAAACGTAAAGAGAAAATAACCAACAGAATCTATAGAATAAGAACGTAGAGAAAGAAAATATTTTCAAAATATAAGAAACAACTAGAAAAACAACATCAATCTTAGCAAGCGGAAAATATTCTAATATGATTTATACTATTTATTATCAAAACAATAAATAAAATGGTCTCTCACAATTATATATATATATATATACATAGAAGGAAGATTTTAACTTGTAAACTCAAACTTTTCATTAGTTTTTTGTATATATTCACTCGATAAACAATTATACTTTGAGATACACATTCCATATTTGAATTTCTTTTCATAAAACAAAATTTCGGAAAACTTTCATCGATTCAATACATCAAAATCATATTATAATAATTTTTGTTTACATAGATTATGATAGTCTAAATTATCATTAATATTCAAAATAGAAAAACAAAAAAATAAAACTAAAATCTGAATAATATAATATACATTATCATAGTGAATCATTTACTTTTGATTAATTCATATTTCTTGAAAAGTAATTAAAATAAATGATAATTTCATGAATAAACAAGAAGAAAAATGCAATTATATCCAATATTAAAAAACTGATTCAATCAAGTGGCAACTCTATCAACGAGAGAGAAAAAGAGAAATGTAATTAGATTTAATATACCAGAAAATGTTATTGAGTTATTTTCAAAGATAAATATCTTCTACAATTATTCAATCAACTGACAATTCTATCAATAATAAACAAGAGATAAACAATATTATTAATTTATCCCAATATAACAAAAAGAAAAAAAATAACAGAAATAATTGATCAATTTTAATGAATTATTTTTTGAGTAAAATAATACTATTAGAATAGATTTGCAATCCGATTAATAATCCGAAAAAATTGATTAGAATCGATTAAATTGGAAGAATTAGTTTTAATAGATTATTTCTGATTATTAATCGGATTAACAATCGATTATAATAGTGACATTTTAATGAATTTTTTGTTTCTAATGTCTTTTCTAACGATTTACATCAACTCATTCTAATTTATGACTTTCTGATAATTCATTTTAATTATAGATATAGAAGATAAGTTCTTTTTTTAAGATTCTACTTACAGTTTGAATTTAATCTGCTAAAATTGTATTAATGAATATAGAAATTTATCGAAATCTCAGACTAAGTCGAATTTAATTCTAGTTAACAATACTTCTTTGTTTTTCCTCGAGTATTCTCTTTTATAACATAGCAGCGCGAACTGCTACACTGAAAAAAATTATCTGTAATGAATTCATGTAACACAACAATAGATAACTTAATTAAAATCGATTAAATACAAAATATACTATTTTGTGACTCCTCTCCCCTCTTTTCCCGCATGGTAGATCTTAACAACCGGACTCAAAAGTTGTTAAGAATACAGTTAGAGTCCTACAAACCGGACGGGTACCAGACACCCAGCCCGACCCGGACCTGGGTACCGGGTAAAATTCGCCGGGTCCGTTCGGGCATCGAGCGTAAAAAACAATTCGGTTCGGGTTCCGGGTAGGAGTGTATACCCGACCCGAACCGACAACTACTGACATCACTAAATTTGTAACATTTTATTAATAGAGAAAATAAGAGTTGATAATGGTATTAAATACAACAACAAATAAAATTTAAAAAGATAAAAATTTAGCGTACTTCACTTTGTCACACAACTATTTGTATAAAAAACAAAAAGTAAGTTGGAAATTATGCATGTTTGAAGTATCTATATTGCTGATAATGTGAGGTTAAAAACAATATTAAATAGATTTTTAAGTGGCGTGATTTTACAGAGAGAAGATTCGAAAATTTACTATTTTTACGCATTCCTATTAAGAGGATACCATTTCTTTTGGAGTGATTTTGCAGCGAGATATGAGATTACCATATATTCTTTTATTAATTTGTATGCTGTCATGCCGTCTTACAAATTAAGGTTACATTTTATACGGTATCCAGTACAATATGTATGTTCTCTTAGCCTTGTTAAATCTCAGTATAAATAAAATCAACTGCGAGGCAGTCAAAATCATAAAAATGAATAAGAATGGTATTAGTGTTTTAATCTAAAGTTCTCGACGTGAATTACATGTTCTGTCTTTTTTTGTTCTTCGCATTTCTTGATGTTTGATGTGTGTCCATTATCTCTTTTTGTATGCATCGTCGTTCTCTACGTTAGTACTTTATTCCTCGTCACTTCTTTTCATCATTTTAGGTCTTTTCTTTATGTTATTTTTGTCCTTGTCGTGTCCTCGTAAATGTTTCTTTTTGTCTTTTGAAGAAATAAAGATTTTCAAACTTAGTTTAACAAGAGTATAGATTGATCCTCGAAGTCTTGAACTCAATTTGTTTAGAAATCTGTTGCCACAGGCATAAAATTCAGTAAAACGGTTATAACTCCCGAAAGGAATGCCGTCGGCGGAAATCCTTTTACGTACTCGAGGTTCCCTACGAGATGATATGTGAATGTACGAAGTCAGATTGAGTGTCTGGGATGTTCCCTCGTTAGTTTCACCAGTTTTGTTATTAACTTTTTCTTTCTTATTTATTTACTTTTATGAAGTACAAATCATCCAAGAAGTTGATTACGGTTTATTAGTGTAGAGCATCTACGCAGAAGTTTTCTCAATACAGACTATATGGATACAAAATCAGAGACTTTGCGTAAAACAAAGAAAATTGCACTTATCAATGTTCGTGTATTCGACGGACAAGTTATTCGTGAACCTAGTACAGTAGTAATTGATGGTGAACTCATCGGCGCAAACTCCGAAGGAGCTCAGGTGATTGATGGAAATGGAGGCATACTCCTACCCGGCTTGATTGACGCTCACATACATCTGGAGAATGAGGATACTCTCCGTCAAATGAGTAAATTTGGCATTACAACAGGTCTGGATATGGCTACATGGCCTCCATCCAAGCTCAACATTTTACGGAATCGAGTTGCAATGACAGATATTCGTAGTCCTGGAGTGGCAGCTACTTCCCCTGGAAGTCTACATAGTTGTTTATTACCATTTCCTGCCGACGAATTGGTGGCCAACCCCGACGATGCTAAAAGCTATATAGCAAAGCGTATTGCCGAAGGAGTAGATTACATTAAGGTAGTGTGTGATGTGCCTGGTCCCGATCAAGCCACACTAAATGTACTGGTTAACGAAGCTCATAGGCACAAGAAACTGGTGATTGCACACGCATCTGCTTCCGTTCCATTTGCCATGGCTCAAGATGCTGGAGCAGATGTGATAACGCATGCACCTTGCGATAGGGCTCTCGATCACGAAGCTGCATCGCGAATGGTAGCTGAGAAACGTATTGCTGCCCCTACATTAGCTATGATGGAAGCTGTTACAAAGCCATCTTGAGGGTGTGGGTGTGGGTGTGGGTGTGGGTGTGGGTGTGGGTGTGGGTGTGGGTGTGGGTGTGGGTGAGGGTGTGGGTGTGGGTGTGGGTGTGGGTGTGGTGTCGGTGTGGGTGTGGGTGTGGG